AGATGGCACAACCATGAGAGAAACACAGAGCATGCTTTTGGAAAGAATAGCTAGTGAAATGAATCGTCTCAAGTTCTACATGGCTCATGCACAGGTCTCCATCATGCATTTACTCTTCTTCTTCTTTCTTTTGCTGATATAGATTTCATTAGGAATGCACTACCTCTGTTACTTTACAGTCCAAAGTAGCTGGTAACAAAACTTTCTTTACAACTGATGCTCACTGTTTTTTCTGTATGCCAGTACAGAACCTGCCTTTCATTGAGAACATGGAGAAGACTATTCAGAGCGCTAGTGTGTTATTGGATGCTAGCCTGGGTCATTGCTTCATTGACGGGCTAAACAACAGCGACACAAGCGTCCTTTACAATTGCCTACGTGCATATGCTGCTATTGATAACGCCAAGAATGCAGAAGATATTTTTCGTACAACGATTGTTGCTCCTTTTATACATAAGATTATTGCACATGAAACATCAGCTGATGCTGCTGGAACATCGGGAGATGAACTTGAAAACGATTACAAACAGATCAAGCATTTTATTGCCAAGGACTGTAAAATGCTGCTAGAAATATCTTCAACGGGTAATTCGCTCACAATCTCTGTGTGATCATATCTGTTGTAGATCTCCAATCACCTTTTTAAGTTCCATGTTTCTCTGGCAAAGAAGTTTTCCTGTTCTATATTCTAAGAAGAATTTTACGCTACTACACAGTAACCTAATTTTCATGGCTTATTAGCTTCATATTTTGATGTATTACCAATCTTGTTCGTTAATCATAATTGGAAAATTGTTTCCTTCTGTGTTAACGTTTTTATATTTCACTCATTGTACTCTTTTCTTGGTATCTTGTTGCTAAAACAGACAAATCGGGTTTGCATGTCTTCAACTTCATAGCAAATTCTATCCTGAAAGAAGTTCTTTCAGCAATCCAGAGAGCCAAACCAGGAGCATTTTCCCCTGGAAGGCCTACCGAGTTCTTGAAGAATTACAAGGCAAGCTTGGATTTCCTGGCACATCTTGAAGGTAGAGTAACCGATCTACATCTTTCTCTGAGCTTCATCACATGGCTTACGCTTATCAGATGCATTGTGAATGATTTTCATTTGTATTGTATAAGAAAATAATTTATCTTAATACCTGGTAGTGGAATTATTTGGATAATTTTCAGTTGAGTCATACCATATACTTTTTGTGAAGGTTATTGTCTGTCAAGGTCTGATGTAACTAAGTTTCGAGCTCAAGCGATATGTACCGAATTCATGAAGCAATGGAATGTGGGAGTGTACTTTTCACTGAGGTACTTGAGAAATATCATAGATGGCTATTGACTTTCCATTAGAATAGTGGCTTTTTAGCTTCTCTAAAATTCATGATTTCAGGTTTCAGGAGATAGCTGGAGGCTTGGATTCTGCTCTTACTTCTGCTTCTCTTGTTTTCATTCAGGATTCTGACTCAGATAAACCGAGTTCCCGCAACTTAATGCTCAGACAGAGCGTTAGTCTTTTGGAGAGCTTGCAATCATGCTGGAAAGAAGATGTTCTCGTTTTCTCTGCTGCTGACAAATTTCTTCGCTTGACCTTGCAGCTTCTTTCGAGGTTTGTGAAATTTGACTATAATATTATCATCATCTCGCACCAGCTTTTGTTTCAGTTCTCATTTTGATAATGTGTTATTAACATGTAGATATTGCAACTGGGTGTCATCTGTGGTGAATACTAGAAAGGGTAATGCCAACCTGAGTCCTGGATGTGAATGGGCAGTTTCAGCCACTGCAGAAGATTTTGTATATGTAAGTCACTTTTTATGTGGATTGTTTCTCAGTTCCACTTATTTTGGAATTTTTGGGATTTCTCCAATTTTGTGTTTACTAATTCAGCTGCTGTTATGTTCTGTGGGATAGCTTGATAACTGTTTTCAATTGTTATTTTGTTGTGAACTTAAATTTTTTTTAAAATAGAGTAACAAAAAATGCTATGGTTAACAAGTAAACTCGAAATATCTGATTTTCACATAAATACATGAAACCTGGTTACATAGACCATCTGGTTGATCTTTTGGTTTTATCAGAATATTTACATGTTACCTTCCTTGCAGATTATACATGATGTAAATTGTCTAGTCTCAGAAGTTCGTGGCGATTACTTTGGACATATATCACACTATTTATCTTCATGCTCCTCTGAAGTTCTGGATGTGGTGAGGAAGAGCATGTTACAGAGTGGAGAATCATTAGAGAACGTCCTACCTTTACTTACCGAGACAATAATTGAATTCATTGTTGATAAATCTGTTGAGGTGAAGCCCTGGAGAAAACATTAGGTCCATTGTTTAATTTATGCACTTCAAGATTTGTTTTGACTGCCTTAGTGAGCATCTGCAAGAACAGTGTTGAGTACAATATGCTTTATAGCTCAGCAGGTTACAGTTTTTATCCAAGTCATACATATTCAAGTCTGTAATGGTAACTGGTTTCTTCTCTCCTATAGGACCTAAGGCAGCTGCGGGGAATAATCGCAACATTTATGATGCCTAATAAACCACCGCCTGTTAGGCACTCACCATACGTCATTGGACTATTGCGTCCTCTAAAGGTATTCATTTAGCTTTTGGGGTTGTGGTTTTAAGGTCATAGTTATTTGACTGATGAATTCTGAAGTGTGGATTGTCACATCTTTCATATTAATAGGCCTTTTTGGAGGGAGATAAGGCTAGGCATGACTTGACCCATGAAACAAGGGAGGAGTTATTGCTTGGCACTGTCACTGAAATTTCCAGGCGGTATTATGAATTAGCTGCTGAACTTGTTAGCGAGGTAAGGATTATTGATAACTATGAAAATTCTAGTGACGCAGAAATAGTTGGTGAGTACTTTATGTGTAGTAAAAGGCAGTAATATGTTACAGGCGAGAAAAAGAGAGACAGTGCTTCAGAAACACCGACAAAATGCACAGAAACGAGCAGGTGCAGCATCAGGTGTACCTGACCAGAATGTATCTGAAACAGACAAGATGTGTATGCAGTTGTTTCTTGATCTTCAGGTAACCCTCCTCATGATATTTCATTGTGTTCTCTGAAAATAGTAGTTTTAGAAAGAAGTAACATCATCGGTTAAAATATCCTGCCAGGAGTATGGCCGAAACATTTCTGGGTTGGGGTTAAATCCGGCAGATATCCCGCCTTATTGTTCCCTCTGGCAATGTGTTGCACCTGCGGATAGGCAAAACACAATTAGTGTTTGAGGACTCGCTCTGCATTTTGATACAACATTGCGGTATCATATCTTATAATGATAACCAGCTTCTTTTCTTTCGCAATGCATAATTGCTGGCTACAAAATTAGAGCAGTGATATACTCTTTTGCACATGTAAATTGCCGGCAGTAAACCATGAGATTTTCTGATTTTAGAATCTAATTAGAGTGGTTATAGTAGATACTTGAAAGCAGACAAAAGTAGTAAATATTTGTAAGTGCTTAAACTTTATTTGACAATAAAATCCTACTTTTTTGTTGTGAAATCACGAATTGACCGCTTTATTAAATAATACTGATAAAGAACAAAATCGAAATTACAAAACTTTGCTTATGACATGAAAGGTTTGGTAAGAGGTTCCCTTCTTTCTACCTATGAATTTAACAAGTACATAAACAGGATCTAGTAATCTTGAAGGTAAAATGGTCTTTGTTTGATATTTTAAAATCTGCTACATATAACAACTGTAGAAAAGGACCCAAATCACATTAATCTTTGAACATTCTATTTACAAGAAGTGTAGGAAAGGATTAAACTTTCACATTCCAAAAACTCTGAACAAAGCCAAGAAGATTCCTGAAGATTTCTACTTCCATGGTTCCAAATTATAAAAAATCCACATCTAATGGAGGAAGAAGAACAATTTCCTGCTCCAAATTAAACATGACAAACGAACTTAGCTTTACTAGTTTTAGTAAAATTTCTCGGCAAAAAAGTCAAAACAGACCAGGACCAAAATAAACACAAAAAATCCACACCCAGAACAATAGATTCGATAAGAACAAAGACGATAAGCAATAATTAAGGTTTATACAGATTAGACTCACCAGTCGAAATCTGAAAGCATGAATCTATAGTGGTGAGCTCTTCGTGATTTTGCCTCAAAACAGAAAATTATATAAAAGAGGAGGAGCAACATGTATACTATTTCACTTTTTTTAGAGTTTTTCAGCCAATCAGAAGGCTCTATTTCACACCCACTCGCACAAAGTGCGCGTTCCGCGAGTGAGAGCAATTCCTGAAGGGGTTTACCTTTCGAAATCATGCCTATTTCAATCGACGCACTTCTCCAAAATTTCCATCGCGTGACTTTTTTTGTTTTTTTTGTTTTCTTCTTCTCTAAACCAATGTAAACCGAACCCAAAATTAATTGTAATTTTAAAACCATTGTAAACCAAAATATTTCTTCTCCCTCCCACGAAGACTAAAAAAGCCATGTAAACAGAGACGACGAAACCTGCCGGAGAACAGAGGAGAGAAACCAAAAAAAAAAAAACGGCGAAAATGGAAAATTCGAATTCGTCTTCTGTTGATCATCGCTTCACTTCTGCTTCCAGGTACTCATCGGAACTAATCTCATCTTCATTTTCTCAATTGGAAATCGATCTTGTCACAGGAGTATTTTGGTCTGAGTGGTTCTTTAGGAGAAAAGATGTTTGATATTGTCACTCAACACAGGAAAGATGATAAATTGACTTTTTAATATCTTGTTATTGCTAATGTGTAACACTTATCCTCTTAATCATTGGTTTCTTTCTTCTGAGGAGATTGCTGAGTTTATTTACCAAACCTTGGATGTAAATGGCAATGAGGTCTTTACAAGGTATCAATCATGGCAATTGAGATTAAACCGTTATTTCATTTTTGCGTTAGAGAGGTTATAGTAGAAAGCAGACAATATTTGTAAGTGCTTTATTTGACAATAAAATCCTACTTTTTTGTTGTGAAATCACGAATTGACCGATTGATTAAATAATACTGATAAAGAGCAAAATCGAAATTACAAAAACTTTGCTTATCACATGGAAGCTTTGGTAAGAGGTTCCTTCTTTCTACCTATGAATTTAACAAGTAAAGGTATTAAGGTAAGGACATAAACAGAAACCTGCTTCTCTACTATTACATGGCATCTCAAATAAACTCTATTTATACTCTGTACAACTCTTTAATCATTGTAAGAGCTCTTCCTCCCACAAAACACCCGCTCCAATTGTTTCTGAAGCGCTTGCGGGTAGCCGCGATCTTGCTGAAGGCAAAAAAGAAGCCAGGTTTTAGATTCTGTTAAAAAAACAGAGATATCGTAGCGTGAAGTGAAACTTTGTTACCTGTGACATTGGTGATAACATTCAGATTTTTTTGAGCAGCAAGTGCTTTTAAGTTGTTCCCAGTACCTAACAACAACAAGCTCCTCATAAGCTGCTTTTGTTCTTTGGGGCTGGTAGTTTTGGCTGCAGCTTCTTCAAAAGCATGCAAGTCGTTGGGAGTGAGACACGGGAGCGAAAGCAAAACCTGATAGCATCGAATAAACAAGATCAAAAACCAAGGCAAGCTCTAATTCAAAAACAACAGGCAAAAGGACTCAACCATGAATGCTTCTGATTTAAACTCACCTGGCGAGGAGCTGGGTCTCTGTCAGAGAGATAGATAAATATTTCACGGCATATATTAACTAAATCAGGGCTGTTAATGGCATTGGACTCCATGCCTAAGCCGCGGATGACTGCAGAGAACATATCTTTTGAAACAAATTCTCGGAGCTCCACGTTATTTGTTAGTTTAGCTAGAAGAACAACAACACCACAAAAGTAACAGACTTTGGTGGTCGCTTCTCCATCTGTCCAGGTAAAGGTTTCTAAACATATCTGCAGTGCTGGTAGAGCTACGCTTTTGTGATTCAGGAGGAAACTGCAATCCAATTTTTTTCCCCATTATTATCTATTTTATCCAAATAACTTTTAATCTGAAATATATAAAGGTAGTATACTTACCCCACCATAGAGTTGGATCTGAACGCATGCAAATCCGTGAGAGTAGACATGTCCACACGACCCACATGTCCTGAATGTTCCAAAACTGGAACTCCTGTGTTTAGTCCAGGAGAAGCCATTGTTGAAAAGAGAGTCGCAATCTCCCGAGTTAAATCTCTTAACAGTTTTTCCTCCATCACTTCAAGTTTCATGTCTGATCCACTTTGTATGCCAAACAAGTCCGGAACCTTTGCTCTGCCCTCTTGTAGAAGACCGGGCCAGGCGGAGCTGAGAGCTTGCTGACAGTGAATAAACAATGGGTGCAGAAGCACTCCGAGCCATGACTCCCACATATCCGCCGGACAAGATTTGACTATATAAGTTATAAACGTATGAATGAACAGCCGAATGTGCCTGAATTCCATCGACTGCAAATTTTCCATGAGTGCCATCGCAACATAGTTAGGATCTAAGCATTTAAAGAATGTCTCTCCGATGGTTGTTGATAGGCCCAACACGTTGTATCTAAATATGTAAAGAAACACTTATGAGTTTAAATAAATGAGAGAAAAATCAAATGATCAATGCAAGGCTTGCTCAAAGGAGGATACTACAAACTTACCCACAATCTCGGATACCTTTCAACCAATTTCGTATATCAGATTCACTTGCCTCGACCTGTCCTTCCTTATTTCCATCGAATGACCCATCAGCATAAACCGATGTACCTTTTGACAATTTAGGATTTGCTTCACCAAGGAGACTGCATCGCTCAGCATCAGTCATTGTCATTGCTGCCCTCAGTTCTGGGGGTAATGTTTGAAATACAGAGGGAGACCAAAGGGAATGAAGAACACGGAGTAGCTGTAAATGTAAAAAAAAAAGAATGTTGTCATGTTAATCTTGCAAAACCAAAAACGAAAAAGTCATCCCAATATGGCACTAAGGAACTTATTATGAATTTTACTAAGCAGGTCCACAATTTCAGAGCATACTTTTAAGAGGGGTGGCAACATCCAAGAAAGATGATGAGCCATAGGATGTGAAGCTGGAGTTGTCACAGAGGTCGTGTTCAAATTGCTTTTTCTGTATCCACTTCGCTTGAGTGCTTTCTCAAAGAATGTAACAGTGTGGAATATGGACCACATGAAGGATGTGTTGGAGCATAAACGAACAAGACCCATCGGGTCTGATAGATAATTGTTCTGCCACTCTGGTTGGATCCACTGTTGACTCAATGGTTCCAATAACCAAGCTAGAACTTCTTGCTGCTGTTGAGCTCTGCGCCAAGTTTAGATTATATCTAAGAACATGACAAATCTGAAGCTGGAGATATTCAATATATTAAACTTCATTTTGAATCAAACATTACCCTGCTGAGGAAGCCATAACAAGAAATGCTTCACCCAGAATGTTATGCTCCCCACGGAGTAAAGTTCCTTTTTTTGTCAAATACCCCATTGTATCAGCAATACCCTGTACAAAATTATGACTGTAAAGATGACGTTTGACATGACTTTTTTGTTCTATAGATTATCCAGAGAGGCCACTAAGAAAATGCACAATAAGATTTCTGCCACAAAAATGATAAAGGTATCTTCCCCAGAGAGAAAGTAGCCATATAATGTCATAAATCATGATACCGAGCTTCACGAGAGTATGATAAAGGTATCTTCCAGAGAGAAGGTAGCCATAAAATTGTGTGGTGGTATATCCATATATCAAACAGCACAAGCTTACAAAACATAAATTCTGCAAACAATTTTTTTTTTTTTTTGCCTTCTAAAAACTTTATTTAGCTTTCATAATCATTCTGCAAACAATTTTCCAGCGTTTACTGATATGAGTTCCTAAATGTAATTAGTGAGAGATCAAAGCTACCTTCATGTGAGGCAGAACACTTTTCTCTGCAGCTTTGGCTATTCTTATGAAAGATGTGCAAATCTGCAATCTTGCAGCTCTAGATGTACTAGTAGCTGGATCCTGCCAAAGAAACAAGCTATTAGATAACTCATCCACACATTGACTTGTGCACTGTCAAAAAATTGAAAACGTGAAAACGTCATATTTGTATGTATGAGCCGAGCGCATGTATGTAAAATACAAAAATAATAAAAATAAACCTTCACAACGTGTGGAAGAGAGGTGAGAAGCTCAAATAATTTATTGATGACACTTCCAACTGCATCTGGAAAATACTTGAGAAAGGGACCCATTGCATCCAGATAGTGCACATGCACTTTCATAAGTTCTGGTTCATTCCATTTCAAAGAGAGAAGCTGCTGAAGCAATCCTGGGCCATCAACAGCACGATACCGAGTATTAGTATTATACAAGCCCAGACATAGTAAACAAAACCTTGAGAATGTGAAATATGCTGCAATATACCCTCAAATATTCCACGTAATGCATAATGAACTTCAGAACTTCCACCAGCAAACTCATTTGATCCATCAAAAAGCGTTGCCACAATACAGTCAAGTGCTAACTGCTGGCTGTCCATCACTGCTACATCCTGAGAATGTTTGTACCATGAGCTTAAATAAGAACTGGATCATCAAAGAGGCCTCCATATAGCAGAAATCTAAGAGTGCATGATTGTCAAAGGAAGTCAACAGCGGAAAACAAGTGCTCGAGACAAAACCTGAAGAGGTGCTGGAGAAGCCAATAGGTGCTTAATGAGTGTAATCACCCTTTCAGATATTTTGGTACTGGAGATGAGAGGCTTGTGAGAAGCAGTAAGCTTGATCAATTCTAGCTGCACAAAAGAAAGAAGTTTCTAGTTAAGTGTGTGTCTGGAATGTAAGACCCAATGCATTTGGTTCAGGAACATACAAGCTTTGATCGGTACGGGCCAAAGTCTCCCTTCCCTTCAAATTCATCACTCCAGAGTTCTAGGGGCCCAAGCGAAAGAGCAATTCCAGTAGGAACTTTTTCTTTCTTGAGCATCCGCTGGAAAGATACATCCAGTATAACGCTAGAGATGTCATCATTAATAAGACTTAAAGTCTTTTTCTTTTCACTATCAACCTGGCTTGAACTATCTACACCGCCAGTTGATGATCCCCCACCACTTGGATAAGCCGCAGCCTTAGGCTTTGGAAGTAAATCCCGCATCAATGACTAAAACCCAAAAGGAAAAGACGCTGAAGTTAGCAACAAATATGTCTGTCTTTGAAATTTCCCAATGAAGAAGGTTGGATCAGAGTAAGACCACATACCAGCCAAAAGAGAAGTGCCTCGAAGTGAAGGCCCAACTTGAAGTGTTGGAAAAAGCCAAGCATCTACACAAATAAAAACGATTAAGGCAACATAAACTAAACATGATTATTTGTGGGGAAAAAACACTACTAATGCAAAATATTATTGCTAACATGAATAGAAGGATTTTAAAATTATAATTGGCTTAGATCCAACCAAAATATATCAGCAAGCATTCAAAATTTAATATACACTTGGACTCGGGTCATTCAAGAACGAAGAATAATATCTCAAACTTATCCTGTTTCAGAATGCCATTGCAGCACAGACAGGGTTTTTTTCAATATAACTTAATATCTCCAGCTTCTCACTGAAAACATACAGTTAAGTATCAAAATAACACATTAACAATACGAAATCAGTACCTGCTGAAGATAAACAGCCATAACACCACCATCAGAAGAGATGCATTGCAAGTTAGTTGAGCCTAAAGAGGCCATACTCTCACACAAGCATACAGCAAAATCATAATCATTTTCATCTATAACGCTAGAACTTGAGGAGGATCTACATAATAATTCTCTCGAGGCATTCGTCAGGATCTGAAACAAATTGCTAATTGCAGAATCGAACTCTGCATTAGAAGCATCACTGGGTCTTTTTCTGCAGACAAGAAAAGTAAAAAAAAATTAAAGCTGTCTATGCGTGCTCACGTAAGCACATCAGATCAAACAACGCAGTTGCATACCTTGAGCAGACGAGTTTGAAAACCTCACAAGCATGAAGACGGAAGTCAGGAGAAGAAAGTAAGAAGCTGCACCTGTTATAAGTATGCGAGCACGTCATCAGCAAGAAATAATGCAGGGCTAATATCAATATAACAATCTTCTTAAGGGTGTGAACAAAAACCGTACCCACTAAGAATTCCATATCTGGCAAGATCTGGAACAGGAGCCCACTCAGTGTATGCAATAATGGCATTCAAGCAAGCTATAACCACATCTGCATGCTGTTTTGCCAAGTCATACTGCTGCCTACCAGCTTCACTCATTGCAGCTCCAAAGTGTCTCTCAAGAAGCTGCATTTTAGTATATTCGGTAAATTACCATGGCAGCAAAACAACTTTACTGAGAGGAATTTATCGGTGGCATACATTATACAATAAAGGCAAAATCTCAGGCAGAGATTGAGTAAGTCCCCGCAACAGTAGCCTACGCCTGTCACCTGAAGAGATGTCCAATACAGAAGTTAGACTAGGAGGATGGAGCTCAGAGGATGAAAAGATTTATAGCCCATTAATTTCTTCAAAATGTCTGAGCTAAGCCATAATGATAAAACTGGAGTCCACCAGAGTGATCTGCCATTTAAGTATAACTAAACCGAAAAGCTTAAGGTGAGCACAAAGAATTACAAAACTAACAAATGTTAGCAGATGTGTCTGTCCATAACCGATTCAATTTAGCTTACCCTAAACTTCAAGATTAGAAAAAGCTTCCCCCTGTGGACAGACTACTACGAAAATAAAGTATATGTCAATCTTAAATACCTTCTAAGTCGTCATTGTAAATTGTAATATCTTCAGGAAGCCATCTCAGCGTCATCAAGACCAATTCAGCCTATTGTTTAAGAATAGCAGATGGGAACAATTTCAATGATTGCCGCGATAAATAAATCACTAAAGTAAATAAATGAAAGAGCATTTTACTTGTAAGGGGCCCTGAGCAGACAATGAAGTTAATAAAGTAAATATCTTTTGCCAAACATCAGGGCCTTCTCTTCTAACTATCTGCAATAACATAAAGTTACTAATCTGAGAAAGTGAACGGGAACAAGTAGAAATGATCATAGCAAATGAAAAAAACTCAGACCAATTAGAACTCCTACCTCAGCTACAAGGGCAGCAGACTGACTCTTAAGAGGCCAATTCTCGCATGCATTAGCAACCTCTGACATTAGTTCGACAGAAACATTAACAAGATCCCTGCACTCCGGAGGACTTAATTCGTCCCATCGTAGTCTAACCAAATGCTGCAAAAGAGAGATAGCTTCACGATAAGGTTTCTATGACACTAAAATCGAATGTGTTCTAAATCCCGTCCTTTAGCTTCCAAGTCCAGTTTCATTCAGCAACAGCAGTTTAAGTAAAAGAAGAGAAAAAAAATCAAAAGCAATACAAACCTGTAGCATCTTAAAAGCATGGAGACGAATTTCTGAAGACCACTCTTTTTTCACAAGATGAAAAGAAGTATTTGCCAAAACCCTGACATCTCCAGATTTGATCTGCAAGTATTTTGAAAGACCGCACATTACTCAATCCAAACACCATCATAACAAGATCAAAAACTAACTTTCAACACAGCTAATCGAACAAAATTAGGTTAAGCTAATAAACAACTCTTTCGACAACACAGTTTCTTTTTCTGACCAAAAAGGTAGGAAAATTCCAATTAGAACTAACTCGAGATTCAAGAGATCAATGAAAAAAGCTCGCTTTTTTTAATTAAACCCCAAAGTCACAAATCCTCCTTTAAGCTTGATGACACCAGCTACATCATATATGCAACATGCAACATAAATCGATTACAGACTACAAGTGAGAAAATTCAGACAGAAGAATTTACAGAATCCAGGAATTCGACCGCCGATTTGCGAGTGTCGGACGTGGAGCTATAATCGACGACGGCGAGAATAGCTCGGGCCACATTACTCGCCGTGGAGCTGCTATCTTCCATTACTTGCGATGAAACTTTACCAAAAGTAGAGATTCCCACACTTTCTTCCTCGTCTTGCAGAATCTCTCTGGCTTGGCTTTGGGTTTTGGGGTTTACGATTTATATATATGTAAAGAATAAGTTTAGGTCTCTCTATATACGATTTTTATTATTATAATTTCCATTTCAAAGACATTCTAACGTCAACTCTTACAATAAAAATAAATTTGAAGGATCAAATAAATAATTTACATAGAATGTAAATAATTTCTCTCATTTCAGTGTTTTGTCAATTCTCTTGTACAATACACATAGCAACCAAATAAAGAACATATATAACCCACCAAAAAAGAAGAAAATTTCGGAATTTTGTTTTTTTTTTTTTTTCCCTCAAAGTATCTCTCTATCAAAAAGGAAACTTCTGAAATTTGGAGATGAATAATAATAACTAATAATCTCAAACAACGATTCTTTTGCCTTTAACCTTAGAAGCCATTCTTCTCTCCTTGTTAATATCGTTTCTCCTCCTTGTGGTTGAGTCAGACGCTCCTATGGGAGCCAAAGGGCCTGACCAACTCTGAAATGGCTCTTTGGAGTAAGATGATGTGAATGAGTTTGTGCTATACGGTATCTCTGATGGATCCAGTCGCCTTGAAGATCCCACCTGAAAACCGAGCAACCCGTCTTGATGTGGCGGAGGAAACTTCTCACTCTTGCTCTTGGCATTCGCGTGTGTGATCAAACGCATCCTCTGTTTTAAGAGAACAAGTCCAAATGATTCAGACATGAACAGATAAAAGATTCAATTTTTTTGTTTAAATTCTTACATCAATGTTAGCTTGATTTTCGGCATTGGCTTCAGGAGCCGGCATTGCTCTTGGGCCTCGTTCTCGGGGTCTCATTCTTCTTCCACTCTCTCCTTGGGCCTTACGTGCTTCTCTTTGTCTGCGGAAATGAATACATCTCTCAACCAACGGTAGACCAAACCAAAACATATTTGACTAAAACTGACACTGTACCAAACCTATCCATACTAGATTCGGTTTTAGCTATACACAAACTAGAACAGAAACCTTTACCTTCGATACTCTTCGTCTCGTCTCTTGGCATCAATCTCTTTACTTGGAGGATATTTCGGGAGATCAGAAGGTTGACATGCCAGTGGCTCCATCGTGAAGAACTGCACAACAACAACAAAAAACCGGCCATGGAAGTTTTCACCAATATCGAGTCACCAACAAAAACAACTTGCGTCACTCTCATTTCTGTCATCTAACTTGATACCCCAACTATTTTTCTATTTTAAAGTTTCAATCTTTTCATTGCAAAAAACTTACATCACTCATCAACGCATCTGTAGCTGTCTGGCGCTCAGCTGGATCAAGCGCTAGAAGCGTATCGAGTAGAGAAAGCGCCCCAGGAGAGAAGTCTTTGTAAACCTCTCTTAATTTTCTTTTATACTGTGGTAAAGGCTTGTGATGAGCATGCTTATGGGTAGAAGGAAGTCTAATCTTCTTCCAATAGTCTTCAGAAGGCGATCCGCATAACTTATATATCCTATGCAACTGCTCGACCTGCCGCGTGAACATTATCCCAGTTTAAATTTCATATGAATAACTCAAACTTTTCTCTTCTCAAACCTGAAAAAAAATCATCACTTGAGAACTGACCTCGGTACGACCTGGCATTATCGGTCTACCAGCTAATAACTCAGGTAAAATGCAACCGGCGCTCCATAAATCAACACCGACACCGTACTCGATAACACCATTAAGAAGCTCTGGTGCTCTATACCATAAAGTAACAACCCGATTCGTCATCTGTTGCCGTTTACTTGCATCAAAAAACGTTGCAAGCCCGAAATCGCCTATTCTAAGAACTCCCTCGTCGTCTATAAGAAGGTTTGATCCTTTAATATCACGGTGAAGAACTCCTCGGTTATGGCAATGCTCGAGCCCTGAGAGTAGTTGCTTCATATAGCATTTGACCTGAAACATAAAACATTATTAGTATAGTTATGATTTGCCTCTGGTTTTGTGAATCTATTTCACCAAGGCCTAACCTGTTGCTCAGTGAATTTTATGTCCGGGCTAGCGACGAGACCAGCTAAATCATGATGCATATAACGGAAAACCAAGTATAAACTACTCGACATCCTTGAAGTAACCAAACCTTCCAATTTAATGACATTGGGATGATCCAATCTCCTCAAAATCAGAATCTCTCTAGCCATAAATCTCAAGCTCTCGCGTTCATTAACATCACACCGCACTTTCTTTAATGCCACAATGTTTCCTGTCAACAAATCTTTCGCCTTGTACACATTACTATACGTTCCTGATCCAATCTACACACACATAAACAACACATTTTCAATTACCCAAAATCATTGCAAAGAAGAAAATGAAAACAGATTTTTCTCTCACCTTCTCAATCTTCTCAAAGGAATCCGCTTTTCGTGGAAGCCATCCGCTTAAAGCTTCCCCGCAGATTTCAGACAACCACGAGGGCCATCCAGCTGCAACTTGCTCACCCAGCAAATTCTTTGGCGGGTTGCTCCTTCTCGGATCAGGCTTAGACCTTTTTCTTTCGCCTTTCGATTTCCTCTCTTTGGCATCGGTCACAACAAAGCCATTTTCTTCCTTCTGATCCACAACAGCTTCATGATTCCTAACCTCCTCACCATTAGAAGCAGAAGCAACAACAACACTAGTGCTCTCTGTTGTTTCGGTTTTGGTCACAGACACATTGTTAACTTCATGTCGATTAGACTCAATCCTTGTACTAACTTCGTCTCTAGACCCAGAAACTGATCCTGATGATCCGGGTCGACCCAATACACAACCCATCTCATCAAACAAACCTTCATTTGCTCAACATGTTTCTAAAAGAGATCTCTGTGGCGAAATCAAATCACTTTGAATCAAGTTTGACTGCAACACACACATAAATGGAAAATTCAAACAGGAAAAAATCAGGAAACAAACAAGAAAATCGATTTCAACTCGAAACACATCGAAGATCAGATTTGACTAAAACAGGAGACTTTGAAAAAAGGGTCGGTGAAATTTACTTACTTTATGATCGAGGAGAAGCGAAATTCTCGACCCAGCTGGTCAAATCTGAGACTTGAACAGAGAAAGAAAATTAAACCCTAGTTTTAAGACAGGAGACAAGTCAAAGGAAGGTAAAGATCTGAAACTTGTTCAGAATTTAGATACATCCACACACACACAAACAAAGCTGACTCAAACTCAAAGAAAAAACAAAAATAGGAATGGAATGAGGGATGATTTCAAAAATTCCACAAAGAGAGGCAAAAAAGAAGAAAAGAGGAAAAGGAAAAAATGGAGTCCAAGAAGATTTTAAAAATGAAACCTTTAAAGCACACACACAAAAAAAAAGAAGAAAGAAAAATCAATTAGGGCTTTGGAAAAAAGGCAAGGTGATACATACACATATTCAACAACAGAGTCCTAGTCTCGTAGACCAATAATATATATATACTTTACCTCCATTATTTAAGAGAGAAGTAAAGAGACCAACTTGGGTAAAAATTTCTCAAGGAGAAGAAGGATTCGTTGAACTGCTTCAGAATTTTTACTTGAAAAAGAACTCTCTTTTTTTTTTTCTGCGAATCAGACAAGAAAAAGGAATAAATAGAAACAGACGAAGATCTGTTGGCTCTTTGTTATTATTATTATGTGTAAGTAATTGTTTTTGGACGCAACACCGCTCCTGGTCAAAAAGGCTCAAAGTTACTACTCTTCTTCAGCCCCCACCAACCTAAACCCTCTCAGCACCAATTTTAAATTTTAGTTTTCTTGTTTTTCGACTCATTTCTTCTCTCTCTTTTCTCTTTTTTCTCGATCACAATTATCAATTTTTAAAGTTTGGGGAGACTTATTGTTTCTTTTTTTTAAGTTCTGTAATTTCCTTATTATTATATAGTGATTTTTTTTAACACATAATCATATATTTTCAAATGCATAGTTAATTAGAGGACCTTTAAAATACATAGTTAATTTACAAAACATCTTATATAAGAAGTATTAGTATTAAAATGATTTTTCGTCACTAATAACGCAATTTCGGATATGAAACGGCTAAACAGAAGAAAACTCTTTTTTTTTTTTTTTTACCAAATGAAGATAGTGATGTAAGAGGTCCAATGGTGCTAAAGAAGTGGTTTTCTCAATGACTAAGGATCATATAGAAAATTAAAATTGATCTATAATTCAGTTGGTCAAACAATATTACTTAACATAAATAAAGAATATTTGGTATGTATCCACCTAATTTTGGAGTGTATTATTAAAATAACACTATTGACTTTTTTTAATATTAAAATAGGAATTGGAATGAGAGTTTCCTTCATCTTTCCAATCAAAGAAACTCCTTTATCAAGACTCTATTGTAAACCAAACAAGGAACAAAAGCTTAAGGAACTAGTGATTACTTCTGTCCTTTAGAACTAACCATTTTTTTTTTAATGATTAAAAAGCTATGTGTTGTTTATACATTCATTCTAAGCATTATTATTAGCTACAATAATTATGTATTTTTACTGAAGATATACTAATTTTAATGACCTCGTTAATTTGGATTTTTCTAAAATTGATTACAAATTCTTTTGCCAGACAAATAACCAAGATAAACATGCATAGTCAACAAATACGATCATGAAAAAGATACTCCGCCTGTAAATCTTTAACATCATAATCAAAGAGAAATTTATTTGGCGAATCTACATTATTAGCAAATAAACACGTTTGATTTTATCGGAATACATTATTTTTGTTTAATTATTTCATCTTCCAGATATGAAATCATGCAAGGAGAATATTTTACAACTATAAACTAGAAATTAAAATAAGAGTTCCAAAATTAATCATCCGGAAGGCTAGAACAAATATAATGTTTGGGTGGAAAGGATTTAAATATGAATCCATCATTCAAAATGATGATTTCAGAAAACTAAGTTTTATCTTAAAACACCTATTCCTCTAGATAAAATGCAATTCAACAAAAACACTAATCTCTTACACTCACAGATTTCTCAAAATCTTTTCCTCTCTCTCTCAGTCCTTGCTCTTCTTTTTCTTCTCTTTCTTATCTTTCTTCTTGGCTGGTGTCTCAGTTGTTTCTTCTTCCTCATGCTTTCTCTTCTTCTTGTTCTTCTTCTCCTCCTTTGCAACCTCTACGGCTTCAGTTTCTGCTTCAGCTTTCTTCTTCTTCTTCTTCTTTGATGGCTCCTCCTTTTCGGGTTCCTCTTCTTCTACCTTCTTCTTCTTTTTCTTATCTTTCTTCTTCGATGGCTCCTCAGATTTAGCCGAGGATTCCCCAAGAAGAGAATCTGCAGCAGTGTTGTAAGTCTGCACATAACAAAAAAACAGCTCAGATTACTTCATAAACCCAAGAACAAATGGATAGAGATATAAAAATCAATTGCAACAGAGAGTTTCTCTGACACAAATCCAAAACTATTAAGAAAAGATGAAAAAAAAAAAGAGAGGCAATAATCTTGACCTTAGCAGGAGTGATAAGACCGCCAGATCCCATCTTTTTATCCTTGTTATAGACTTCAATCTTAGGTTTGCCTTTAGCTGAACCAGACAGACGTCCTAAATCTTTTCCTTCAAGATTTCTCAACCGCGCTTCAAGCTGTTAGAAATCAACAGGTACCAGAAATATCATCAGAAGGAGACCAAAGATCGTTCAGAGAGATATATCAACAAGAGGAAAGCTATTGAAGAGTGCTGTTACCTTAGCTCGGTTCTCAAGTCCCATAGTGCTATCCTGGCCATCACCAAGAGCATCAACCCTAATAGCAAGAACAGCTTTAGCAGCTAATGACCGCGAGATCTTTCCCTTGTGCTTTGGTGCTGCTTGACCAACCACAGATGCGTGGTAAATCAAACCGTACTTGGGTGTGGCGTGTTTTGTCTTAAGAGCTCTAAAGAGAGCTTTTTCAGCTCCGAGTATCTGAATCGTGCTCCCAGGTTGCTTGGAGAGGTTCAATAAACTACCTCCATGAGAAATCAGACGGGCACCAACTAGCTCTCCAACAAGGGCAGTCAGATTGGGAGCAATTGTGTTCATTCTGCTCTTCAGGTAATCGTAAAGCTGAGCTCTGTACTCAGAAAGAGAAAGAACCTGGTCACAGAGTTCACGAATGTGCAACAAGTCTAGGTCACTGACTTCTGTTCCCATGGATATCACAGCTGCGTCCTTGAGATCTGCCTCAATTTCATCCGCTAAGATCTACAATGTAACCAGAAACAGGAGAATCTTCAGACGTTAATCAGGGCGTTTTTGTTAATGAAAAAACAGTTTAAAAAATGATTTTTGTTAATGAAAAAACAGTTTTAAAACATGAAATTTACCTCGGAGAAGTCTAGCTTTGCAGCATTAACTCTGTTTCCCATCAATTTAACAGATTTGGCATATAGGATATTGTCTGATATGATCTTAGCAAGCTCGGGAAAATGCCATCCATACCATTCTCTAACCCTCATGGCGTATGTGTTCAGTTCTTTGTCAAGATCATCAAGTAAACCGATAGCTTGGATAATCATGGTATCCACCTGACAAAAACTAAACCGTTAGGAGATGCAAGTGAAACAAAGACAAACACAGGAAACGTTTAATATCGGATAATCAAAGGCGAGTTCAATACAAAAGTTCCATAATTTAACACAAGTTAGCCTAGATCAGTTAAAAAATTCATATACTTGACATATCACCAAATAAAAAGACCAATATAATTAGTCAAGAACAGAAAGTACCTTGTCAGAACTAAACTTTAGCTTATATCTGGCAAGACTGTGAGACAGACCCAAGCTCATAGGTGCCAAGTCTTGATCACCCAACCCAGATATGAGTTCAGTAAACTGACTTCTAACTCCTCGTAGAAGCTCCATAACAGCATTGTTGTGAATGCAATCAATTTTCTGAATGAATTAAGAAATTTCATTAGAAACAAAACACAGACCAGACAGGAATATAAGGGTGTAATAATGGGAATTACAAACCAGTTTCTCCTTGATCACATTCCCAAGCTTTGAATCTGCCACAGCTAAGGTTTCACCTTGACAATTAGCTTTCAAAAACTTGCGCAGACCTTTGCTTGGAGCTCCCTCCAGCAATTTAGCCACAGCTTCGAGAGCTTCAGATGTGTTGTCAAACTTCTCAAAAGCTTTTAGCTTAACCATCTGGTACACCAAAAAAAAACATATGAGAAACTCAACACTAAATCTAGTTTCAGATGTTCTGAAACCAAACACTTTATTAGTGCATGAAGAAGCAAAAGAATTCACCTTTCGTGCTGAGTCTGGAGTGTCGAACTCTTTACACAAATCCTGCAAAAAAAAAAAGAAGTTAATCCAGGACTACTTTTAGAACAACAACAATAGACAAAGAACCTTAAGGAAGAGATAAGAGACTACAAAAGAATGAAGATAACTCACCTCAACGTTAGCCATCTTTCCTTCATCTTTCACTTTAAAGAGGGCAAAACCAGCCGCTGTCTCGTATAGCACTAAGACCATCTTCACAAAACTCTTAAGCTGGACCTGAAGAGAAAATTAAGACAAAACTTAAATCAGAACAGTAAAGATACGAATCAGAGTCACACTGATTAAACTAAAAGTTAACGTTTAGAGATCAAAAACTAGCAAGAAACAGCATTCACTATAAACCCTAATCCTACTTTTTTGATCACATAAGAAATACAGGAGAAAAAAAGAAACAGAGAGATAAACTACAAAAAGCCTTAAAACTGTGTCCGAGTATTCGAAACTCCACAATCTCTGGCAAGAATCGAAAAGTGAAACAGCATTCACCGTGAAGAGAGAGTAGGAGAGATATGAAGTACCTGATGAGCTAATCAAAGCAGCTGCGGAGAGAGAGGAAGGTGAAGAAGAAGACGGAGACGGAGAATCACTTAGGGTTTTAAGAGGGTGTTGTTGTTATAGCAGTTAAAGACGAGTCGGGCCTTCTTAGAACGCTGCGTTTTATAAGGGGTATTTCTATAACTTCCATAGTTAGGGTTTAGGTTTTCAGCTTAATGGGCCTAAATGGATTATTTAACCAGCCCGTTTATAATAGTAATGGATTATTTAACCAGCCCGTTTATAATAGTAATCCGTCGGCGTTTTAATCTTCTATTTCCCTTTGTTTCTCCGTGTAGTGTATAGAGATTTTTGTCTGGAAATTATAGAGCTCGAAGCTTCAAGTTCAAGGTATGGTTTCAAATTTACTCGTTGATTTTCTGGGTATAGAACTTTTTTCATAGTTGTATTCAAATTTATTTCGTATTTTAGCTCTGATTTTGCTAGATCTTCATCTGATTAGGTTCCGTAGATCCTGGAAATCACGAATTTGCGTGTTGTTTAGGGTTAAACTAAGTAGTTGTGTGATTAGTGTTTTGAGGAAGCTTCTTTAGTGTGAATGTTTACGTCGATGACCTAATTTTGCAGGGAAGTTATGGCTAGTGAAGATGAATCGATAGAACAAAAAGCTGCTGCTCGTAAAGAGGCACTTAATGCTCTAAGGGCAGCTCAGGAACTGTCTGAGACCAAGGAGGACGGAGAGGATGAAGCTGTCGAAGAAGAGTGAGTTTGCTTTCTTCTTTGCTTATTTTGTTTGTCTTGATTCCTATCTATAGTATTGGTTTGAAGAACAATTTGACTAGCACATGAAATTGTTAATGTTGCGTGTTGGCTATAGCATAACTAGGAGCTTCTCTTGCGCATTGATTTGTGAGAGAATCAATAATGGTGTTCTTGCAGCATCCATTACCATACAATTTTTTCCAATTTCAGTTGGCATTATGTATACTTTGCTTAGATGATTGGTTTTGTTGCTTGATTATTCGAGCGAAAGTCCCATTTTTTCCATTTGCGTACTGCTTATGCATTATCTTCGATTTTACAGTGGTCCAGCCATGAAGTTTAGAAACTATGTTCCCCAAGCTAAGGAGCTTCAGGATGGTAAACTTGCCCCACCAGAGTTACCCAAATTCGAAGATCCGATTCTTGCACTTCCACCTGCTGTGGAGAAGAAAGAGGTGTGTGACTGTTTTTCTTTTCTCTGTTCAAGGATCACCTAAAGTGTCTCTGTTTCGAATTATTGTTTGCTTTAGTTGTCTCTCTTAAGCTTACAACGAATTTATCATTGTAGGACCCATTTGTTAACATCGCTCCAAAGAAGCCGAACTGGGACCTCCGAAGAGATGTGCAGAAGAAGCTTGATAAGCTCGAAAGGCGGACTCAAAAGGCAATGTATAAACTCATGGGTAAGTGGCAACTGTATCTACATACTGATATCGTCTATGGAAGCTTAATTAAGCGATTTTAGTAATAATAAAGGATAGATTAAGACATTAGTGTGTGGTTCATGAGTAACACTTTGATGAACACTGAATCTGTTGGTAGTATGATACCAAATCATACAAGTCCAAAATAGAGTGATCTGTTTGTGTTTGTTTATTATGGAACTAACATATGCATTTTCATCATCTAATTGCAGAGGAGCATGAGAAAGAACGTGAGACGGCTGAAGCTGATGGTAACACCATAGAAAGTTGAAACCTGACGACACCATCAAAGAAACCACCACCGAACATTATATTCTACTCAATTTTGTATAACTGTTTAAGCATTCAAAGTGACTAGACCATAGGACTTGATTTCTCCTCGTGTGTAAAACCCTACTGCCATTGCCATAGACATAGTAGGTTTATGTTCTTGTGTGAAGAAAAAAAAAGTCGCAATTTATTCCGAGTAGAATTAAGTGTGGTCCTTTCTCTTAAATTTGGTTCGACATTGGTGTTAATCTAGTTTGATCATTAATTGGAACTGCGTTTTTTGGTTTGATTCGATTTACGTTGGTTTCTGATAACTTCGCTTAAGATGGAAGCATCCCAAACTAAAAACCAAATTACATTCTGATTCGGGCTAGATGGGTTTAGTTTTCCCAAGACTGTCGGGAGTCTGAGAAAACAACACAGAGCTCCTAAGACCTTTCTTCTCGGCATGTTGCTTCCACAGTGGATGTTGGAGTTTAGATACAACATTGGTTTATTTATTAGGGAACAATCAAAAATAGATACTAAGTTTTTTTTTTGTTTTGCAAAGCTCAAACCTAATGTACAAATTCAATAAAGCTTTCGACACCATCTCACCTAAAATCTTGGACCTTTATTGGTGCCCACTTCTCATGAATCCAAGCTCCAAAGAACAGAATTATTTCTCCAGCATGAAGCTGAGTAAAACACTAGGCCAAGGTAAACCAAGATCTATGCTTTTTGAAAGGAAAAGCAATGAAAAGCTATAGACTTCCATGTGATTAAATGCACCAGTAGACAGATCCCAATCTGTAGAGCAATAGATAAATATGGTGATATTCAATATCAAGGCTTCGATCAACATAGATTATTGTTCCTATCATTGTTTCAAACCAAAAAGAGCAATCTACAAAGGCTTTGGTATCAGGAGTTGTGAAAAGCTCACATGAAAAATCTACCAACTCAAGTATCTCTATTTTTTCTTTCTGATGAAAATACCTAATATGAAATCACCTTTCCAAGTAAAAACCGTCAAGTAGATGCAGCCGCTCCACAAATTTTATCTTGACAAACACACCAACATAATGCATTTTAATAAGTTTTCACCTTTTTCTAATATTTTACCTCAAAAGTTATCTAGCTATAGCCACTCTGTAGTTGAGAATTAGATCCTCAGGTTTCTTCCATATATATGCCCGTACAGTTGCTAAACTCATATCTGGAGATAAGACCTGAAATAATCACAGAAAAACAGCTCGTTCAGCCTCATACTGCAAACAGTTAATTGAGATCCGTGAAACGAATTCTCTAGGCAATCAAAAGTTGACCAATAGTTGGATCTCTTGAAGTCTGACTTGCCTGGTTATTACATAAGATCTCAATGGAAGGTCTAAGTTTCTGCCAAGGCTTTAATCCAGACTGCAACAATCCATTTCCTGCAAACAGTGGCTGAGGTTGTCCTCCTGAAACACTTGTTGCATCAAGAGCTAGACTATCCAAAGGATTGTCAAGGACCATCTTTTCCACAACGTAATTGGTAACCTACATAGACATGTAAGGAGCCAGTGAATAACAGAGAGAGCAAGCAAAACTACAAGTTCAATTTACAGAAATATGCACCTTGTGAACTCTTAAGATCCGGGGTGCACTAAGTTTCCCTAGTGTAACCACCTGCACAGATGAACCTTCACATGGATGCAGGAAGAAGCTTAATCTGGAAATTTGAAGAGCTTTCAAAGTCAGACATTTTATGGAAGATGTTTTATCTATTTATAAAAAAATGTAAAAACATATGTGATGAAAATGCTAAAGGTCCAAACTATTTTTTTGATTAAAGAACAAGGTAGTGCCAAATACTTTGTATTTTCTCTAGGTGGAAGGCGATTGTTCAAGACAGCATCCAAGCACCACAATGGGAAGTCCTTCTCATCTTCAGTTCCAGTATACTCGGTTATCTTCTTCCTCCATGGTCCACCTTGAGAACCCTCGGTTATGATGGAAGGAGGGGAGACGGAAGAAAACTCGAATGGAGGATACACCGGATCACTTGCAGCACTACTGTCTTCAGCTTTTGATGCACTTAGATTTTTTTTGGTATCTTTTACAGATAAAGTATCTCCAGAGATAAGAACTTGGGGTTTGGGTTTGTGTTTCTTCTTTGCCAGCCAGTGACCCAGCAGGCCTTTCAGTGTTTCACGAGCTAGATTAATCTACAAATCACATAATCCAATGACAAAATTAGGTTTCCTTTGACTAGGTTAGAACAAACAAAAGTCTAAAATATTCAATTAAGGTAACAGAGATCCATTAGTTATATGCAACAGTAAGATAATTGAGAAATTTCTGATTAGATTCAACATAAACTAAAATGCAAGCATTTAATCTACCTTATCATCTTCAGGTCGCCCAGAAACTTTAAGGTCTGCTGAATACATCTCAGCAGAGAAGCATTGTGGAGTTTCCAAATGTACAGATAAGCATCCAAGTCGTGTATCCACAGTAAACCATGATGGAATGCTTACCTAAAAAAGTAAATATGAGCAAGATATCAGTTAGGTAAACAAACCTGCTACTCTCACTAAAGATAAAGAATCATAACCTTTGAAAATAAAACAAGAGACTTACCATCTCAAACAGTTCTTCTTTCTTCTCCTCAAATGAAATCTGCAAAGATGGAAACAGATATATATTTCTCTGACTTAGTCTCCATTTGCATTTGGAGGTGAATGATAATGATATTTCAGAATTACAGCAGCAGATACATTAATCAATATTGAATCAAAAAAGATGTCTAGGTTCCATAGATACCTTTCCATAGTCCTCTACCACAACACCCCTAGTTATATCCCATAGTTTCACTGAGCCAGCTGCGTCCTGCAAGAGAAAAACCAAAAACATATCATTGACCCCTCTACAAAACTATCAATGGTGGTCTCTTACCAGAGTATTCAGAGAAATCTATTTTACCTTGGTTAAAATTTGCCTTTTATTATTCAAAATCTCATGTTGCACAATCGGGTGAGTTCCTGGAACAGTTATTGACGGCTCCTTGTAGGCAGGGGGCTGCAGACAAGCGAAAAGTTAACCACACTGAATAAACAAAGGTTAAACAGAAGCATTTACAGGAGGAAATTGTTTTGCTTACTGGATTTAGTCCTTCCAAAGACACCCTCGCCCTATTAAAAGACAAATTCCCAGCCAAGAATGAGCCACCTCGTTGAAAGACCTTTTGAGGACTCTGTACTTCGGCAGGCCATTTCTCTACAGAGGAGTCTGTAGTTGCAACCCATATACTATTATCTTGCAACGCTAATTGCTGAATTGGATGTTCCTTAGTGCACAGCAAAACACTCTCCCTTGTTGCCAAGTCTGTCAAGTATAACTGACGGAAACATAACACATAAATGAAATTCGAAAAGGAAGTTATACGCTGGAAGAGAACCAAAGAAAGAAGCAAGTTTGGTGTCTACTCACACATTGGTCTCTTCCACCGCTATAAACATGACTAAATGATGGAGTGCATGCAAGCGCCCAAACAGAATCTGTATGCACCGCATAGGTATGAAGACAACGCTGCTGACCTAGATCCCATAGTCTAGAAATGAATTTAGAACCAGTTAGAACTGAAATGATCACTATAACTTCAGCCAGTGGGTATCATAGTTATGAACTAATTCAGAAAAAATACAGACCTTATCATAGAATCAGAGGACCCAGACAAGCAAAACCTGCAGTCTCAAGGTGAGAAACACGAGGAAACTCAGTCAGTCAGAGAAAAAAATATGTACCAAAAGGACCCAAAATAAACCATTGATGGCATAATAAAAAAGAAAACTTACCTGCCAGTTGAGTCCAGAAGCAGCACTCTGACATTATCTGTATGCCCCCTCAGCTTCATAGTCTTTGAACCGGTTCTAGGGTCCCAGACACGTAAAACCTGCAATAAAAAGAAAGAACTGAATAGGATATTCAGAAATCAAAAACCCAAAAATTTCTAGGTTCTTGTTCTCAGGTATACTCTCTGCAACCTGGAGTGTACGAATACCTTCTCTGTTCCACCAGAGACGAGCATCGTTCCGGTATCATTCATCGCCAAAGCATACACAGACTCCTTATGGCCTTTGGCAATTGTTGGTGTGTACCCATGAGATGGAGATGACTGCACAGAGATATTGTTGCTCGAACCAACAGTTCTTAAACTTGTAACAGGTACATTTACACCATTTGAAGAAGAACTATCTTCATTAGCATCATTAGGTTTTGTAACTGGTGACAAAGCAGCTTCGATATCCCATATAAAAACCTCCCCACCAAGGCCACCAGATGCAACAAGATTACTCTAAAAGTTATACAATCAAGATAGAATCAGAATGTGATGGCAATGAAAAGCACATATATCCTACAAAACTTGCACCACCATACCAAGCAATTTTTTTTAGGTGAAACTATAAAGAAAAAAATGCATGAAGAATGACAAATTACATTTTTTGCAGCAACTGCCAAACAAGTAACATAGTCAGAATGCTGACGGAGGGTCCTCGTACAGACTCCATCTGATAAACCGTCCCACGTCTAGAGACAAAATAATTGAGCCGCATTTAGAAACCAACAAACAAAACAAAGTACAATGTTCGTTTTATACTGCTAGCAAAACAAATTCACAAACCTTGACCGTAGTGTCTGAAGAACAAGAAACAAGAGTGCTTTCACCAGCCAGAGCAGCGTCGTTCACCTGACCAGTCAACACGGGGGTTTGCAATTATTAGATGCACAATAGAACAGGATTCATCTCAGGAAACACAGAATCCTAATTACTGATCATCCCTATACTGTTAAATTTCAGTGTCAGGAAAACTATATACCCAGTCAACATGAGACTCAAACGTAGCTGAGCAAAAGGTAGCATCCTCGTCAAATGCCCATCTCTTGAGTGTACCATCACGACTTCCAGTGAAGAGGTAGCTTTGATCATTAGAAACAGACGACTTCAACACATCCAAGCAATTTATGCCAGCACAATGCTGCAGCGTGCACATAACATAAGAAGAACACCATCAGGATTGAGTTGAGAAGGAGATGTCTAATAACTTCAAACTATTTCAAGTCTTTTCTAGTTAAAAAGAATATGAAGGAACTAGAAAATAAAAATCAAACATAGAGTAACACAATTCCGGATGGCAATAAACCGTATTGGTGTAAAACAACCTGACCTTTGTGTCGTTGGCATCATTTAATACATAGGTAAGCTTTTTCTCTTTGCGAGTGCGAACAGAACCGCCATTACTGCCGGCACTTCCAACCCGGTGCATTTCAAAGTATCCTGAAAGGAGAACCAAAAAAGAAAAACAAGCAAGTGAGGGACAAGCAACCTTCTCTTCAAGCAGACTAGTTATCATCATCATCCAAAACAAAACAAGACCAAACCGAATATTGCTGCTAAGAAAAAAAGCTGGTAGTAGTAGAGTGATCAGTCTGAATCGAGAAGGAACAAGAGCCTATGGGACAGCCATAGAGATCCCCAGCTGAGACTAAGATTCTGTCTCTTAAGAGAATCTCAAATATTCCGGAGAAAAAAAAATCAACAATTATCCACATGGAATAACAGCTTATAAGCTCCCAAAATCCTCCATTGACTCATCAAAAGGAAAATAGTCGGAAGAAGAAGATCAAAATCAACAAGCCACACTCAATTTCGATGTAAAAGAGAGAGAGATTACAAAATCATCACTACTTAGCTATAAGACTCTCTTCACTCTTGATTCAAAAACGATCAATTTAACACCCATCCATTGAACATACACGATTAATTCCAACTAGTTGCTCAATTTCTAACAGGAGAACAGAAATTGAACAATATCTAAAAGATGAGAATAAAAAAAAGGTGGAATCAGTCGTAAACGAAATCATCAACATACCTTAAAAATCTGAACTTGAGATGAAATCGATGATAGTAACAACGTGATTCAGCAACCCAAAACACACACACACACACACAGAGAAACCCTAGAATCGATCGTTGGGCGCGGGAGTGAATAACGAGATTTGGGAATCGGATTGATCTAGAAAGTCGAAAGTTAGCACAAATTTGGAAAAATTGTTAATTGAAGAGTCAAGACGGACAAACAAAGAGCAGCCTTTTTTCCAAAGGCGTGATGGCGTTTGAAGAATTGGAAGAAGATGAAGAAGAAACCAAAAAAAAAGTGTTTTTTTTTTTTCCTTCAAGGAAACCACAAAACTCTCTTCTCTCAAAGGCTCGAGACTTGGTAAAATCAGAGCCCATAAAGAACAAAATAGCGTTTTAGTAAATAAAATCGAAATATAGTTTTGGGATTGGATAAGATTATATAAAAAATCCTCTTAGGGCTGTTATTTTCTTATTGGATAAGTGACTTAACTTAAAGTTAATTTAGATTTTGACCACTCAAAAGAAAATTAGCTATTGAGATTTAATAAATATCTGCTAAAACCACAAATAATCCTTACAAAATTTGTATGCATTTTATTTTCAATAAATCTTAGTAGTTAGTTCATCATATACAAGAATCATTCACATATGACATATTCATATTCTTTTTCTTTTTTTTTTTTTGGTGCAAAACACTACTCATATTCAACCTCTTATTTTTCATCTTTTTCTAGGATTAATGTTGCCGATTAAAATCAAAATATAATAAAAGATTTTTCTATGATTAATTAAGACGCTGCATTAGAAAATCAGTGTCCCACTAAAAAAGCATAAGTCAAGGGGATCAATATAGACGATTAATTTTACAAGACAGAATTGGTAATTAGTAATTACAAAACTATTGAATAAAATATTCTTACAAAGAAAAAAAAGGAAAACTTTTTACAGTTTTACCGTTGATCGTGCAATACTATTATTGGTAAACTAACTCAATTCCACTAGTAGTTTCCTTAAGCAGAGTTTCCTTAAGCAGAGAGAGTCTTTCTTCATCAATGGCGTTTTTCTCCTCTTCTTCTTCTTCTTCTTCATCGTCTCCGGCGATGCAGAAAGGAGTCTTCGTGTCCATGCCTGTACTCGTACTCTCCGTTTCGTTTGCAGCTGCTGTCTTCTTCCTCATCTCGTCTTCTTTCTCGTCTTGCTCCTGTCCTGAATCTTTATCTTCTTCCCGGAACGACGCCGTTGAAGCTTCCGTCGGTGGAAGCGGCGGTGATTTGAGATTGGAGGAGAGGATATCGCCGACGCAGGAGGATATTGAGTGGGTTAGAGATCTGATTAGATCCAACGGTTTGCATATGCAGAAGAATGAGCTTCGAAAAGGGATTAATCCTCGCACTAGAGATCAACAACTCGCAGATCTGAAACAGTAATCATCCTCTCTCGCGATCTTCTTTTTTACTTACTTTGAGTTCCAAGCGTTACAGATTCAAGCTCCGAAACTTGAGTGGCTAGTAAATTTCTTGAGGTTCCATTTGATGTTAGCTTAGTGATTAAAGTTTGGTTATTGCTATATCAATCTCAAAATGTCGGAATGCAAAGATGGAATTGATGATATATATATATATATATATATATATATGTATGTGAATTCACTAGCTTTATGGCCTCTTTAAGTGATTAGAAAGCGACATTGTTCTCAGTTTTTGAATCCATATCTGTAAGGTAATGGTTTAATGTTACTATGTTGGGATCAAGATCCTATGTATATCTAGTGAGAGCAAAGGATCTGATTGCTGCTTAGTGATTTAGCTGTGGATTGTATTTTTATAGAATTGTTTTATCAATGTAGGCTCTTTGACGAGATCCTATAATGTTCTGCTAATTTCTTGATTCTTAATAGTCACTGACTTTGCATAACCAGTTGTTAAATTATCATTTCTTATTCTGTTTTTTATAATCTGAAGATTTGAGCTTTCTCTGTGTTGGCTTTGTCTGATTTCACTTCCTTGGAAAATCAGGTACAAGGGTATATCCCATTACGAAGGAGATGAAGCAAACAACCACACAGCTCTTCCATGTCCTGGTGAGTTACTAGTTGAGCAGCATCACAGCAACTATGGTGAACCGTGGGCAGGTGGTCGCGATGTATTCGAGTTCTTGGCTGAATCATCCAATCTTAAACCAAACTCTCGTGTTCTTGAAATTGGATGCGGCACGTTACGTGTGGGTTTGCATTTCATCCGCTATCTCAATCCCCAACATTTTCACTGCCTTGAAAAGGACGAACTTTCTCTAATGGCTGCTTTAAGGTACGAGCTTCCATCTCAAGGACTTCTACATAAACGACCTCTTATAGTCAGAGGCGATGACATGGAATTCAGCAAGTTTGGTTCAGATACAACCTATGATCTGATATACGCAAGTGCAGTCTTTCTCCACATGCCTGATAAACTCGTGTGGACTGGACTCGAAAGACTAGTAGACAAGTTGAAGCCCTACGACGGGAGAATCTTTGTGTCACATAACGTAAAGTTTTGTTCGCGGTTAGGACAAGACAAGTGTTCGCAGAAGCTAGCAAGTTTAGGACTTGAGTATCTTGGAAAACAAACACATGATAGCCTGCTGTTTAATCACTACGAGATCTGGTTCGGGTTTAGACGGTTCAAAACATAAAGCCGGTTGAAGTATTATTGTGAGTGTATTTCGGTTTTCTCTACACGCCATTGCTCTCCATTGTCAAGACTTTATGGAGGTTTAGAGGTTGTTTTGGTGAACAAAGGGAAAGACTCTCTACAAAAGCGGTGAATTAGAAAGATTGTTCTGTATCAGGTTACTTTAATTTTTGTGTTTGTGGTCAGGGAGATACATGTATTGTTTATATACAGTAGTAGCCAAATGCTATAAGAGATGAGGCTAGATTCTTTTGTTTGTAACCAAAGACAAATTCTTTTTTCATATTTTGTAAGTTGTTACCACTTGTTTGTTTTTCAGTAATTTGATATAATGTCAGCAATAATACTGCAAAGAAAAATAAACTCCACCTGAAATTAGCATTCAAGAGACGAAGACAGTACCATTTTCTGCAACAAGAAGTAGAAAATACGACATACTAGAAGAACTAAGACCATCAGACTCTCAAATATAGACCAACCTCAATCTAAGATAATGGGGAAATCTTTCCTTGACCCATCTTTATCTTCAACCTCACCAGTTTTACCACAATCCTCGCTTTGTTTTTCTGTTTCTTCAGCTTCCTTACGGATAGATCGATCATGCTTGAGTATAGAACTGGGGATAGCAGCAGGGTCTAGCTCGAAAGAACCAACAGGAACTCCCTCTTTCTCCTCTCCATTCAACCTAAATGACGGCACTTTGTGAGAGAATCTTTGCATTTCCTCTGGTGTGATCATGAATGAGATGACTCCATGCTGCCCAGCTTGTTTATAGACCGATGCAAATCCTTGAACCTTCCCTAAATAGGCCACTCCAACACCTAGACAATCGTCGACGTTGACTAGAACTTCCACAAAGTCGTACCTATAAGGAGGCTTGTGCTGTTTCCGGTTATTGTTCCAGCTTTTGCTCCAGTCTCTGAAAAGAGCCCACGTTTCGCCTTTACTCGGATTCACAGCAATGAAGTGTTTGCCACGTATGATGGGATGTATCTCATGGGAAAAGGCCAAATGGCTTTTTACGGTTTCTGTATTCCCCCATTTGAACCTACCGCAAGCAGCAAGAACAGATTCCTCATCTTTAGGTTCTAACCATGTCACTTGAAGACTCGACTGACACTTGTTAACTTTCTTGATCCGACCATAACACCTAGGCATTGAATCTATGTTATCATATAGAGCCCATACTTGACCAGCCATGATAGAGCTCATTGTCTTGCTGAAATCATTGAACTCTGAATCAACAACACACATTAATGGCTCATGGTCCTCATCATTGTGATGTGTTCCTCTAACTATGGAGACAACGACTTCTTCAATATCTTCTTCATGTGCTTCACGAGAAGATGTAGAAGCTGAAAGTACAGAAGCAGAATCTTTTTCCTTGTCTTCATCATTTTGGTTGTGTTGTGTAAGAGACTCAGCATCCAATGACGGCCCAGATTCAACCCTAGTTCTCTTTCGAGTCCCAGCTTGTATTGATCGTTCTTGTACTTCTCTCTGTTTCAATTCCAGCTCTTTCTCCCTTTCTCCAAGTTCCTTCTCCCTTAGCTCAAGAAACTTAATCTTAACTTCCACATCTCTGGCTTGTGCTTGTTGTATCAGTTGAAAGTTCTCTTCTTTCTTCTCCAGCTCAGTCGATTTCTCTTTGATGGTCTCATTAAGCAACCTAAGCTCATTCTCCCTCGCTTCAAGTTGCTTAAGAGATGTTTCAATCAGCTCAGTCTCCATTCTCATTCTCTCAGACTCTGTTGTTTGCTTCAGATCAAAGGCCTTCACTTTCATATCTAAATCACAAGTCTTGGCATCGATCGACTTGGAAAGCAAAGCAACCTCCTCTCTCCTCGCTTCAACCTCTCTCATAAGCTCTTCATGCTTCAGCTTCATCGAACCCTGAAGCAATTTCTCATGTGCGTTAAGCTGAGCAACCACCATTTCTTCATTCTGCTTCTCAAGAACCAATCTCGCCACATTTTCTTCCAGAAACCGTTTCAAATCAGATTCAATTTCAATCTTCATCGCTCTCTCTTCAACAAGCTTAAGACGCTCTTCCTTCTTCTCCAGCTCCAGAATCTGAGTTTTTAGAGATGCCTCCTTCAAATCCACTTCCATGGCTCGTTGCTTTAGCAAATCCAATTCCTCATCGATTTCTTCCCACCAAGGCGAGAACTCAAGAACTGATGAAGCTTTCTTCTGAATCTGTTCTAAGATATTACGCAACTTGTCCATTTTTTTATCAACTCCCTCTAAATCACTGTCCACTACCATAAGATCATAAGCAGAAACCCTAAGTATTCAAAAAATCAAAGGAAAAGAAGAAATCAAAAAAAAAATCCGTCATGAAATATAAACCATCTCAGACATTCACGTGAAGAAATATAAACACACAACAGTAAACGGAAGCTTCCAGAGAAAGAAGAAAACAAACAAAAAAAACCCAGGAAAAAAAAAAGTAAACCTTTTTCGAGAATGATCTTCAGTTTGTGCAGCCGCCGGTTCCTGATCCGGCGGGTTGCTTCTGAAAGTGAAAGGTTGGGAATTTTCCGGTTCCATTACTAGTTGCTGTAAGACTTGAGTTTTTGAGCTCTAGGAAGTAGAAAGACTAAGAAAGTTTGCTTCTTTATTTCCGTTAGACACAGAGCAAATTTGATTTCAAATTTGAAAACAAGAGAGAGAGAGAGAAGATGATTGATTGATTTTTACTGAACATAGAAAAAATGGAGGGAGAGCTGAGCTCAGAAAAAGTTGTAGCATACACGTATCGGGACAAATATGTACCCCCTTTGATTTACAGCCGTTGGATTAAATTATGAGCAACCGTTGGATTACTTATAAGTCAGATTTTGTTTGACCAGAGTCTCCAATGATTTTGTAGCCGTTCGATTTCTTCTATCAGATGAGATTCACGAGATGCCATGGCCCATGGAAGAGATAAGTTTCGTAAATGATCAATCACTTAAAGGGCTTCATAAGATGAATAAGCCCATTAACGTTTAATAAAAGAAAAATAGTAAGCCCAATAGATATAAACTAACTACCTTAAGAAGTTTAGAATTTAGAAACATTCATCATCATTCAAGAGAAAAAGGCATGTCCAAAAGGATCACATCAATTCACAGTACCATTTTCTGCAACAAGTAGCCATAATCTATATATACATTTTTGGATGATTTTTAGCAAATAAATCCTGGAGTTGGAATGTATTTACGGATGAATGCCATTGGCATTAATTATTTAAATTTGAAAAATATTAATTAAAGATATTACCAACACGATTTCGAGAATCATAAATTCATATCTTCCTTAATTTTCTGAGTCATTAATGTGATAATTCTTTAGGAAATATTTCTCTGTAAAAAAAAAAATCCACATTAATGAAGGCATTAAAATCGACACTAACAATTAAATTATTTAGATATTCAATTATTTTAAGATTCTTATATCTTATTTGATATTTTTTTTAATATCTCATTCTTTAATTACTGCGTTTAAAATTTATTGGTTGTTACCTATTTTTTGGTGAAATTTATTGGTTGTTACTTAATAAGTAATTATGGTGCGTTTATTTTAGTTAATATCTAATTTAAAGGATTTGTTTTCTTTTATTATTAATAAACGAATAACATGTATAGAAATAAAAGATTTTTCTTGCGACTCTATAATAAAAATATTAAACTCTTATTTTCTACATTTCTTACACATAATATCCTCTTATTCAATAACAAAAAATATATATTGCATATTTTTAAAAATATTTATAATATTTAAATTATATAAAAAGTTTGTAATAATATTATTTCAACTCTATACAAATTTAATATATATGTATATATATCTTATGGGAACCATTTAAAAGAAATTTTTAAATTGACTTGAATTATATAGCTTTTAAATAAAAGTATTATTAAAAAGAAAAATAACTAAATGATGTTTAATTTCACGGGACGGGTAATATGATAGGACGGGTTTGGGTTGATATTTATAAAAGATAGTATACCACGGGTGAAATCCTAAAATTAACAATCAAAATAATCTATCAAACAAATTACATTTTGATTTTTTTAAGAAAATATAGCCCCGCGGTGTACCGCGGGTTAAAATCTAGTTTGATTAGTAAAATACTAAATACGTATTAGACGAACTATAAGACCATCAGCGTATCAGACTCACAAATACATAGACCAATCTCAATCTAAGATAATGGGGAAATCATTTCTTGACCCATCTTGATCTTCAACCTCACCAGTTTTAAGTGTCACTAAGGAAAGTCTACGATAAGTGTTAACCAAAAAAAAAAAAAAAGTTCAGGATAAGTAGGATAGGTATATTAAAAACAATTAATTTTAGGATAATTAATGATACTTTATATTTGAGGATTAAAGAAAATTATATTTATATACACTAGGATGTGATTGTATGTTTGATTAATAGTTCAAGATACTGTATGACTTGTTTTTGGGGATTAATTATATATGATCTTGTAGATTGGTCCTATGTTTACTGTGAGGAGAAATACCAAAAAAAAACCTTGTAAATGAGAACAGAAAACAGAAATCCGAGAGAATAATAGAGCGATGATGATGAATAGTCGTCGTAATAAATAAGTGTAACATCCATATGATCCATCTACTCGTTTATGTACTTGGTCTAAAAAAACAAAAGCTAATTATTAAAGAAGTTAATAGTGATAAATGAATAAAACAAATTGAGGGGAAAGAGATAAAAGGTTAGAGGAAAATGACAAAGAATTATTAAAGAAGATAGGGACTGGTGAGGTGATCAAATTGAAACCCTAATAATAGGACAAACCACTAAATTATATATTCTATAAAATCAAAAAAAAAAAAAAAAAAAAAAGAAGAAGTAGAAACTAGCTGTTGTCCATAGATGTTGACCGCCAAACTCTAATGCTTCCAAATTTTTTTTATTTATCATACTTTTGCTATAAACCTTTGGTATTTTACAAGCCACACGCCTCTTCCTATCTTTTTTTGATGGAAAAAAATATATCTAATTCGGAAATTTTATATATTAATGCGTACTATCTTCTGTCTGACTAACTAAATAAGTAAAACGGTAAGACCAAGAAAAAAATACATAGTTTAATGAATAATGACGACTATGAACGTTTGGTTCACTCTTTATTTGATATCATAGTAAAAGTTATTCTCTTGTTTGGTTCACTATTTCTTATGCTTTTGTGTCCATCGGCATTCACATATGCACATACAAGTTGTGTTGAATGTGGATAGTTATAACTTATATTCACATCGGCATTCACTATTTCTTATGCTTATATATATATATATACTATTTGGATGTTTTACTTTTTATTGTTCAAAGAAAAAAATCAATTATATGGTTTTACCTAGTTGACTAATTTCAACATAATTTACCTTAGATATTGTATAGAAGATTACCGACATTACTTTTAAATTTTTCTTAATCGTTTTTATACCGACATTGCTTTTATTTTTCTTAATCAAAACGTTTTACCGACATTACTTTTTAGATGAAATTTCACGAGCGAGATCGTGACACTCAACACATAATATTAAAGATCTGGGATAGAGACAGAGACTAGTAGAGTAGGCAATAAGAAGCACGTTGAAAAGCAGCTGTTAGCCATTTTCAGCACCCAATCGTCTCATTTAACTAAACAATTCACTAGTTAATTGTTGTTTAGTATGCACGCATATTCTCAAGATATACTTAATTATATATACCCATATATATATATATATATATATATTTGTTACAATTATACAGCATATGATTATTAAGGACCATGCATGCATGGTTTTATAGACTATTGATCAGACGAGTTATTTAGCCAATAATTCTACGTAACTCTTAATTACGAATAGTTTTTCGATAAACAAATTTTTTATGTAAAACCATATAATTGATTTTAAAAGTTAAAGCGATCAGTATAATTACTAAAAATAGTCATATGCTTTTTCGACAGTTACTCGACTTACCCTTTTAATTACCAAACGGGTTTACTTGACATAATTATACTTAGCTAATTTTTTGTCGTTATTTAGCTAATTTTTTGTCGTTACTTAGTTAATTTTTTGTCGTTATTTGGGAAGAGTTACAAGCAACAAATGACATAATGATAGACACTCTACACAATTTTAAATGCTTTTTTCCGGCCCATAGTCTTAAAAAGTTATTCCACGAATAAATTGACACATGCTCTGATTAAAAAAAAGGTTCAATTAACTAATGAATGATATATCATCATTATACAAAAGTTGTGAAATCTAATTTATACTATTTTCAAATCGAATATGCATAGTATTGAATATTGATGAAGATTGAAGAATATACTACATCTTTTAACAAATTCTTCATTTTCGAGTTTTTTTTTTTCCTGAAAAAATATATTCTCTTTTTTAGTGTTAGTGACACTTTGAAAGAAATATCAATAAGAATTTTAAAAGAGTTAAAAAAAAAAAAAAAAAGTAAGAAAGTTTTTTTTATTATTATTAATTTTTGTTTTGAGGCCCACCCATGACCCAACTCCTCACACACAACACCTCCCTACTCATCCCTCGACGCGTCCAAACATATGCGCGCACGTTACGCCACACGTCCCTAACGATGCTAAAATACGCAGATATTCCTTATCCTCCACCTCTTGGCGGAATATATATCTTTTTCTTTATTTTTAAGCCTTTTGTTTTATCCCAGTTTTTTTCTAATCACTCACTATTAAACCCCATTTTGATCTCTCAAGTTTTCAAAAGCAGGAGATTTTCCTTTTCAAGAAAGAGAAATTTCACTAATCAAAGTTGCGAGCTTTCACTTGTCGACTTGAAAATTCTCGTCCTTTTTACAGAATTCGATCTGGGTTTTTGTTCTTGATTAGTAAAATAACAAAAGGGGGGTTTTCAGAAATGGCTGCGAGCGATGAAGTTAATCTTATTGAGAGCAGAGTAAGTTTGTTGCTTCTTTTTTTCTGGCTTTAATTTTGTTTTTTAGTTTCTAAGTATATATTCTCATGTTTGCAATTTTTGGGGAAAATTTTATCAGTGATTTTGACATGGGTCTCTTTCGATTTCTGGTTTAATTCTGTTCCTGATGTTTTTTCGTCTTTTGCTTTTGTGTTTGAGCTTATGTAGAATGATTTATAGTGTTTTGATTGTTCTTTTTTTCAAAAAACAGAAATTGAAAGCTTTAGGATTTCAAATCGTTTGAGGTGATGAAACGTGTCGTTAGTTTGATAGTGGTCTCTGTGCTTCTCCTTGGCGTCTCTGTCTTCTTCTGTTTGATTTTTAATCTGAGTGTTTAATCAGATTTTGTTATTCAATTTCACACTTAAATTCAACCGACTCTTTCTTTGATTGGATTCTACTATGTAGTGTTAATCAAAAAAGTTCGAATTTTGAGTTTTGTGTTTGATAAAGACTCTCCTTTGATGCTTGAATTGAATGCAAAGCACTCTTTTTGTGTGGTTTGTGTATGATAAGCTTAAGCCCTTTCATTGATCTCTCTTGTTAATGCGTTTATCTCATCTTCTATTGGTGTTCTCTGTGGTGGAACTAAGTAATCTGCAAATTTTGTGTGTTTGATGCAGACAGTGGTTCCTCTCAATACATGGGTTCTAATATCCAACTTCAAAGTAGCCTACAATATCCTGCGTCGCCCTGATGGAACCTTTAACCGACACTTAGCTGAGTATCTAGACCGTAAAGTCACTGCAAACGCCAATCCTGTGGACGGGGTGTTCTCGTTCGATGTCTTGATTGATCGCAGGATCAATCTTCTAAGTAGAGTCTATAGACCAGCTTATGCAGATCAAGAGCAACCTCCTAGTGTTTTAGATCTCGAGAAGCCTGTTGATGGTGACATTGTCCCTGTTATATTGTTCTTCCATGGAGGTAGCTTTGCTCATTCCTCTGCAAACAGTGCCATCTACGATACTCTTTGTCGCAGGCTTGTTGGTTTGTGCAAGTGTGTTGTTGTCTCTGTGAACTATCGGCGTGCACCCGAGAATCCATACCCTTGTGCTTATGATGATGGTTGGATTGCTCTTAATTGGGTTAACTCAAGAGCTTGGCTTAAATCCAAGAAAGACTCAAAGGTTCATATTTTCCTGGCGGGGGATAGCTCGGGAGGTAACATTGCGCATAATGTAGCGCTAAAAGCGGGTGAATCAGGAATCAATGTTTTGGGGAACATTCTGCTGAATCCTATGTTTGGTGGGAATGAGAGGACGGAGTCTGAGAAAAGTTTGGATGGGAAATACTTTGTGACAGTTAGAGACCGCGATTGGTATTGGAAAGCTTTTCTACCTGAGGGAGAAGATAGAGAGCATCCAGCGTGTAATCCGTTTAGCCCAAGAGCGAGAAGCTTAGAAGGATTGAGTTTCCCCAAGAGTCTTGTGGTTGTCGCGGGTTTGGATTTGATTCGAGATTGGCAGTTGGCTTACGCGGAAGGGCTCAAGAAAGCGGGTCAAGAGGTTAAGCTTATGCATTTAGAGAAAGCAACTGTTGGGTTTTACCTCTTGCCTAATAACAATCATTTCCATAATGTTATGGATGAGATTTCTGCGTTTGTAAACGAACGTTAACACGGTGTTAGAGAGAGAAGGTTGTTTTAACAGAGCCAAGACATCTTTCAAACTAACAAACAGGTGAATGTATTGCCTGTGGATTCTCTCGGATAGTTTTGTTTTTGTGTTTAGTATCTAAGTGTGTGGCGGTTTGCGGAAGCCTTTGTGATGACTGTTTAAACGCTGGATTCTGAAACGCTAAAGCTTGTGGAAGAATAGTGAGGCGTTTAGAGACTTGGAAAGGAACAAAGCAGTAGTAAAAATTTCTCCTTTGTGTCTGTAATATTTGGCCTTTAGCTTTTAGCCTTGAGTCTTTTTATTAACTAAAAGCTGAATTTTTTCGGCATGGGAGTGGTAATTAAATATAAATATTTCAAGAATGTAATGTTTTATACAAATTGTAATGATTTTGGTAAATGTCAGGTTTGCAGTTGGTATTGTTGCTCCTCTTTTTCATTGAACTCTAATAGATTTTACAAAAATAAGCATTGCCTGTTTTTTTCCCAATCTTGTTAAAACAACAATAAATCTTTAATATTGTGTGTTTCAAAAAGCCAAAAGGTATAAAAAGATTTTTGTTTCGACCTGTGAGGAATCTTGGTACAAATGATGAGAAACAGCTAAAGCTTTGAGGAAACAAGAAAAACGAGAGAAATTAGTTTGTTCAAAAAGACAAATGTACAAAATAAGTGGAGTCCACCTTACTTAAGACCATATATGAAATTGACCAAGAGTACGCAAACTCTCTTTCACAAAAGAAAATGTGATAGGAAGAATGTGGCAATACTTGCCTTTGGATCATGATCTACTGTATGAAATTATTTCTTTTACATGATAAAAGTTTCTGTACTATATTTATATTTCATATTATAGTTGCAGAGACCTAAACAACATTATTTGCAAGGTAGGCGTAAAAAGCTCATTTGATAAAACAAACTCGAATGAGATAAATGTCATGATTGTAGTTATGTGGCAAAACCATTCTGAGACGTTTAACGAGTCCTAGCGGCATAGGCAAAAGATGCAGCAGCAAAAACCGTTGTTACAGACGAAACGAGAGTCCAGAAGTTCTGCTTCTTGTGTGCCTCTTCCGTTGATTGTTTCATGATCTCAGCTTCTTTCTTCATTTCCTCGATTATCTCCTCTTTGTTTTTGAACGCTTTCTCTATCGACTCCAGCTCCACCGCGTAGGGTTCAGTTCCAATTTCTCGCTTCTGTTCCTCGCTAACCAATCTATCTTCTCGGTTCTCTAATTGGGACAGCATAGATGCAGCACTCTTTAGCATCACCATGCTGCGTTTTGCATCCATTCCAGCTGATTCTAGTTCTGTTTTCAGAGCATCCATAGCTTTTTTGAGCTCTACAAGCTCCTTTTCAAGGATAGCCTTTTCGCTTTTCAATGATTTGGATTGACTCTCCAAATCATTCTTCGCTGAGAATAAACTCTCGCGCTCAATCTCAACTTTCTCAAGCTCTTCTAAAGTTTTTGCAACCATCTTCTCTGATTTTAAAACCTCTGCCTTAAGATCCTCTCCATGTCTCTTCTCCTCATCAAGTGCCTTATCAGCTTCTTCTCTCTTGAGCTCAACTTGCGAAAGAGCATCGCTTAGCTGACCAACTTTGCAGCTAAGCTTGTCGTTAGTCTTTATTTGGTCATCACAATCCTTTTGTAGCACAGCCACAGCATGAGTTAGCTCATCAGCCTTTTGATTTAGCTCAACCAGCTTCGCCTCCTGACTAAAAATACGCTCCTCAAGCTCAACTTTCTCCCGAGACAACTGGTCAATCAACTTCTCCTTATCAGATGACTGCTCCTTGACCATTTCCATCTGTTTCTCAACCAAATTCTTCTCCTCCAATAACCTCTCAAGCTCAGATTCCTTGATTGTCATCTCTTTCCCTAACACATCAATTTCCACCCTCATTCCTCTCTCTTTCTCCATAGACCCATCAAGATTCTTCTTTAACCCGGTAACCAAATCCCGCAAAACCTTATCTTCCTTTGTCAAATTCCGCACAGTCTCATTCAACTTGACTAACTTTCTCTCCAATTCCTCGATTTCTCCCTTTTGTTCAATCTTTACAATTTCCATGTCATTCTTTTCACTCAAAAGCACTTTGATCTCTCTCTTCAATCCATCAATCTCATTCTTCTTCTCCTCCATTATCTTCTCCAGACCAATCTTCCCTTTGTTTACCCCTTCAATAAACTCTTCTGTAATCTTCCTCTCATTCACTAATCTATCGTTTTCAGACTTTAATTTCCCAATCACTAGCTCCAAATTGGATTCTTTCTCCTCCAACCGAATCACACAAGCCTTCAATAGATTCACCTCCTCACACTGCAAATCAAACCCACTCTTGATTAAGTCCCTCTCAACACAAACTTTCCTCAACTGTTCCTTCTCAATCTCCACCCTGCCTATCAGCTCAATCGCTTCCCCTTTCAAAACCCTAATCTCACTCTCTCTATCACTCTTCTCCTTTACCAACCTATCAACTCCAACGCCAATCTCTCTAAACCGGCTCTCAACAAAATCAATAACCAGATCCAACTCAATCTTCAACCCCAAATTCTCATCACTCACCTGTTCCAACTCGTCACGCAAATCCATTTTCTCCGACCCATAACGAGCCAACTCGGTCTCCAATTCATCCTTAGCCTGAACGAGAGAATCGATCTGGTTTCTCTTCTCCATAGCCTGTTTGAGAAGCATCGCGTTAAGAGACTTCAAGTTCTGGAATTGCTCCTCCGAAGAGTCGTGTTCTTCCATGGAAGACTGACGGCTGAGTGCCGTGGCTTTCTTGTCAGTCTCGGGTGCTTTCTGGTCATGGTGCTGTTGTCGGTTATCATCATTAGCGGTGTCGTTACTGTTACGCGACGCTTTCTTCTTGGCCATTGTTTTGGGGATTCTCGAAGGTCGCAAAAAAGTGGTGGCGGAGATTAGGGTTTTTGGGGATTTCGATGGTCAGCGTGTAGAAGAGATAGAGAGACGAAACGCTTTTGGGGGTAAATTTGCAAATTCAAAATTCAGGGCCCAGATTTTAAGATATACTTTTTTTTTTTTTTTTGGTAAGAGATTTTAAGATATACTTTATCTTATCATCATCACTCTTCTCTGTTTTTAGATATTTTTCGTAAATCTAACAACGTTGCACGTGACTGCCACGTGATTTCATACTAAATCAAAATCATATGAAACCGAATTTAAGAGGAAGTAAACCGGTTTTAATTTGGTTTGTTCCACTCCCATCCATTAAAAATTTCAGCTATTTTTTTTTATGTATGAAATGAAACCTTATCCATATTCTAGTTTTTTGTAATTTTTTACGATGAGTTACATTCACCAATGAAAGAAACCAAAATAGTTTCACATAATTGTAATTTTGATCAATTTCAAGAAGCTAAAGCAATCTCTCGAATGCGATCAAGATCTCCCAAGTACTTTGTGGAGTTATATTCTACACTATCTAATAATTCTTCTGAATACGTGCGTTGCATCATCTTTATCTTGGCTTCTCTTGGAGTCATTACGACACCTTCGTGACCTAGTAGTAATTCCACAACCTGGATACATTTAAGAAACAGAATAACCGATCAACCGGATTCAAAAACGGTCGACCACTATTAGACTGGACTTAGCTGCTAGCTAATTACACAAGATAGAACTAGATTAATTGTTAGCTTGTAACGTATAGAGATATTTCAGAACCGGAAAATATGTATAGCTCAAGACCGGAACCAAATGTTGGTCTACAAGAACTTGACCACTTTCACATCTAAACCGGGATGGAATTACATTGCACCTGGCTCATCCGGGGTCGTAGAAGAGAAGACTGATCGATGCATAAAGAAGCTGTGGAAGTTAACCGGATAAGCTCTTCTCTGTTATACTCATCTCCAAGAGACGGATCCACCAATTCTCTTATAGCTTTTTTCTCTAGCAACGGCTTAGCCTGTGACCATTATAAGAAAAAAGGAAACATAACTCGTACCAGACTGATAAAAGGATTGTGAACCGGCCCGGTACTTAGCCTCAAATGTCAAACTCACCCATAAGACAAGGCTCTGCTGAGACTCGTCAAGAGCAGGGTGGCCCGTTATGAGCTCCAAGAGGAGAACTCCAAAGGCAAAAACATCTGTCTTCTCGTCTACAATTCCGTGCATGAAATATTCTGGTGCAAAGTACCTAAACCATTGTCCAACCAAAAATTCTCCATTAAACCACACAAGAAAACCTCAAAAGAATTTCCTAAATAGGTTTTCAAATTGTTACCCGAATGTTCCCTCGAATTTGGACACGTTATGGTGTGTCAATTGTTTGGGAAGCCATTTGGCTAACCCGAAATCGCAAATCTGTGGTTGAAAATCTTCGGTGAGAAGAATATTATCGGCTTTGATGTCTCGATGAATAATTCGTCTTTGACAACCCTCATGAAGATACACTAGTCCATCTGCTGTTCCTAACGCTACATTGTAACGTCTGCTCCAAGTCAGCTTATATTTCGATGGTCCTGCAAAAATTAAATATTTAGATCCGATAAGCTTAAAAGTTCGATATATATTTACGTTAAGTTTAGAGGTGGACATATAAACCATGGAGGAGAGAGCCTAAGCTTCCAAGAGGAGATAGCCGGAACACGAGATGCATTCCACCCTCGATACAACAACCGATGAATTTGGCTGTGTTCGGATGATCAACATGAGCTATTATCCCAAGTTCCGATAGAAACTCGGCTGTTTGCTCATCCGGTGTGCCTTTCGTCAGGCGTTTCACAGCGATTAGCTTTCCTTCCGGTAGAATTCCCTGGTATACCTCAGCATAACCGCCTCTTCCAATAATGTTTTCTGCATACATTTAGAAGTGTCGTTTTGATCGCAGTAATAGTAGCAACCAAACAAACAGTCCTTCAAAAAAACAGAGTATATTGTTATAAGAATAATAACTTGATACCTGGACTGAAATTGTCAGTTGCAATTTCGATGTCAGAGATTGAGAAGTTGTGGAGAGATGATTGGAAATCGTAGATATCGTGAAGGACCATACCATCGATGTGTGTTTTGTTGCTTTTGGAGATCGATGGGGCGGCGCCACTTAATGGAGGAAAGGAAGAGAGGCGTTTCATGGATCTGCGTTTCCATAGCTTGAAGAATTTTCCCCAGTTCGAAGATGCTCTGTGATTCTTGCACTGTGCGTCTGTGTCTGCATCTGCGTTATCGCTAGCTTCTCTGTTTGGAGGAGGGTCGTCAGAGGAAGAGGAAGAGATTGAGGAACGGGTTAAGCAGGCTTCTAAGGCTCCTCTCGGTGATTTAGGGTCTTGCTTCTCTTTCTCGACCTCTAGACATCTTAGATCTGAGAGGACAAGGGTGAGAAAACGTTGGAAGAAGCTAGGTTTCTTGGTTTACAAGCAATGAATAAGAAAACAGAGGACAAAAGAACAAAGAAACAGAGTAAAAGAGGAGCTAGGTTTTACCGTGAGCTGAAGCAGAATTCAAAAGAAAAGCGTTGGTTCTTTTATGTTTTGTCGTATGATTCATATCGTTTGAATCTTCGTCAGTGACATAACTTGAATATTTAGAGTTGTACCTGCCTCGGAAGATTCAGATTAAAAGAACAAACTAAACATGTTGTTCTTCTGTAAATTGAAAGTAAGAGAAGATTGAGGTAAAGTTCGTTAATCTGCTTAAACACTCTGGGAAGTTTCAATGAAAATTATGAGAGAATAGCAGAATAGAAAATAAAATTCCGAACTTTCACATTTATATCATGTCTACAGACAAAACTTAATCAAATATAAGCACAAACAAACATAAAAACATAGAAAAAGTGCTTTTGATTGAATAATTACATTGGAAGAGCACAAGACAAGGGAGAAGCTTCTTTGCTTTGGTCTACCGCCATGAAAGAGTTCAGAAACTTTTAAGATCTTCTCGGAAACCTGAAAACCTAAAGATAGAGAGGATCATAGAAAAGAAATAGAAAGAAGTTAACAAAAAAAACCAAAATAAAAATAAAAATAGAAAGAAGTTTTGAAGTTGGTGTTCGTCTCGAGACACCCGAAAGAAAAGGTTTTGTCTTTGTGTTTAAAATTCGATTTACTAATTAATTATTTTCCGTTGACCAATGTCCAATGGTATATCTACTAGTAGTTTTTTTTTTGTTAAGCAAATAGTTAGACTCTAATATGACTAAATCCTATATTTGGCATTGTTTTTTGTTATTCTCTCTTTAGATTGAATTGAATGGCATTCTCTTAGCTTCATTTATGGCAGAAAGGGCCAAGGGTCCGTAGAAATCGCTTCTTCTGTCGGTCTCGTTATCTAAACTCAGATTCCTAATTTAGAGTCTTTTTAAGATAACAAGATATTTTACTTTCTTTTCTTGTTGATAAGGTAATTTAATTATAAAAGATTTTAGTTATAAGTTAAACTCAAACTTGAGTAAATCTTTTTTTTTTTTTTTTTTTTTTTTTTTTTGAACACCAACTTGAGTAAATCTATTTAAGTATTTTTACCGTTACTTATCAATAGTAGAACTTTACATTGCGAATGGTAACTAATAGCTTTTCTATATCTTTTTTTTCAAGTAACAAAAGAATAATTATACGTTTTGTAGTTTCTTTGTTGTAAAAAGAATAATTACCCCGTGTATATATGCAGAAAGCTTGCATTAAAACCTGCATTGACATTAATGCTTTGCACCCAATTATTTGTATTTTTTTTTTTGTCTGAGATATAGATATGGATGGACTAGTTTCATGATTCTTATTTTTGTGATTCACAAATATTATTTCAAGAGTAATTCTTATATAAGTTTTGGATGGTTCAACCATTAACCACAATCATTGTTGGGAGTTATTTTTTCAATACTTCAGTCTTTGTATAAGAGAGGGGACATCGATCATTTATGAAAATCTTGTTAGGTACTGTTCTGTTCTATCATATCAACACCCTACGTTAACTTTCTGTACCCATGATTAAATAAATAGGTTTTTCTCGATGAAACTGGGTCCAAATTGTCATGCTCAATTCAAGTTTACCGACAAAACCATTTTGATAGATTTTGATGATTCGAGAGTGGCGGTCTATATATGACCATTCAAAGATCCACTAATAAACCTCCGTATTCTCGCAAGAATTTGATTCATAAACAGGGACTGTAGGGCAAAACTTTTTTTTTGGCCCTTTAAGTATTTTTTAATTGTCTTTTTTTTTTGGCTTTTTTGTACTTTCTTTTAGCAAAATAAATATATTTTTCAAATTTTAAAGTTTTTTTTTTTTTTTTTTTTATAACTAAAATTTAGACATTTTTGTTTTCAAAATTTTGGGCCATTTTATATGTATATTTTTTAAAAAATCACTTGAACCTCTATGCCATTGCCACCTTCTTTGGGTCAGACCTGTATATGTGGTTAATGAAAACGAATATCTTGTGGCCAATTGCAAATCCAAAACAAGATTTATTATCATTTGAATCCCTCTACTTGTATACTATATGATCTTTTAAAACTTCATAGCTATATTTCATATATATACAACTTTATATGGATTTTCATAGGCAGTCTTTTATCATCTAGATTATCATTTCTGGTTTATCATCTAGATTATCATGCGCCTAGACTCGAGGCTCAAAGCAATACCCAGATGATAATCAAGAGACAAAAGACTTGCATAGAGGTGTAACTTTGAACTTTAAAAGTATTTATATGGCATCTCGTTTCTATACTTTAGTTTCAATAATGAATGTGAAATATACATATATGTGTTTAGGAACTGAGAAATAGTCTAGCTGAATTAAAAGAGAGTTTATCAGAAGAGTTTTCCAGATTTGGTGATAACCTAATATACCTTGCTACAAACGTTGGTAGGTGGCCTTATACACAAACTTTCTGAAGGGGTTAGAGTCTACGAAAGAGGTTGTGCGGAGAAACTTGCTTATGACAAGAAAATTTAGGTTTTTTTTCCAATAATTCTCATGTCATATTTTAAACAGATTATGAAAGTCTATATAAAGTTGACTATAATTCAAACTTGTACATAATATGTTCGAATTATAGCATAAGATGTTCATGATTACTCGAACTATAGTTTATCTCATAAAAATATAATAAGATTGCTCTTCTTTCATGATGCATCAGTCATAAGAATCTATTAGTCGAATAAAATCATATAAGATATATACATATACATATCGAACCATTCTTGGATTCACCCCTTTAGTTTTAACCAATTATTATGATATGTCATATAATATTTAAATAAAATTAAAAATTGAACAAACAAATAAAATAGTTTAAGAAAATAAATCATCAACAAAAGAAATTAATTAATTAAAGGAGTCATCGTGATTATCAAAATAAATTATCGGAGGAGTCATATTTTTTTTTAGTTTTTGGTTCATTAGGCTAATAGATTCTTGTGACTGATGTATCATGAAAGAAGAGCAACCCAGATGGGTAAAACATCGATTCCACCGTTAATATGTTTTGGTAATCACGACGATTCCGTTAATTAATCTTTTTGTTAATGATTTATTTTTTTAATTTATCTTATTTGTTTGTTTAATTTTTAATTAATTATTATATGATATGGTATAATAATTGGTTAAAATTAAAAGGGGTGAACCCAAAATACATTGAGATTTTCATAATATATAGAATACATTAGAACATCTCCAAAAAGGGGTTTTATTGGGTTTAGAAAAGAGTTCACTGGTTTAATAATGAGATTAAAATTAAATCAAAACTCTAAAAATTGGTAAGAGGCGGTTCTCTATGAAGAGGTTTGTGAAACCAAGAGAGACGTCTACGTGGCAGTTGTTTATTGGCGGACTATTTTTTTGCCGACTATCTCTCTCTCTTTAGCGCCGATCGTTTGATTCTCCATCATCTCAATGTCGGAGATCTTCGTGGAGCGGTTTCAGCTCTTGATCTCATGGCTCGTGATGGGATTCGTCCCATGGACTCAGTCACTTTCTCTTCACTCCTCAAATCTTGTATCCAAGCACGCGATTTTTGGCTCGGAAAACTCGTTCACGCTCGATTAATCGAGTTTGAGATCGAGCCTTAGACTATGAGAAGATTTAGCGAAAGCTGAGGATGTGTTGTTTCTTGGAGTGCGATGATGGCTTGTTTCGGTAATAACGGAAGACAATCAGATGCGATTAAGCTTTTTGTTGAGTTTCTGGAATTGGGATTAAGGAAGACTAGGCATTTTGAATCTGATGTCTGTGTGGGTTGTTCTTTGATTGACATGTCTGTGAAAGGGGAGAATAGTTTTGAGAATGCGTATAAAGTGTTTGATAAAATGTCTGAACTAACTGTTGTTACTTGGATATGGTTTTAAGTTTTAAGCGGATTGGAATCAGATAAGTTCACACTAAGCTCATTAGCTTTCCTGCGTTTGTATGACTTAAGATCAGGACAGGAAACTATGTTCTTGATTTTTGCTTTAATTTGGGATATCTGGTGAGACTGTGGGAGATGTAAGATTTGTTGCAGATATGCATAAGCGAAAGGCTGAAACGGCACAGAAGCTGATGCCTTCATTGCACTCCCTGGTATTTTAACATTTCTTTGGCTCAGTCAAAGAAGAAGTAGGCTACTAATACCTCTGTTGATTCGTTTGAAATTGTTTCTGCAGGTTGGTCTATTGAATGTTGATGGATACTATAACAATTTGCTTGCTTTCTTTGACACCAGTTTCGAAGAAGGTTTTATCAAGCCAGGTGCACGTAACATTTTGGTTTCTGCTCCAACAGCCAATGGAGAAGCTGGAGGTATATTAACTTAGCCTTCCCTTTTCTTCTTGTTATGTGGTTGTATATTCACTTCTATCTTGTATAGAAGAAATCAATGGCTATCTCCTAGTCTACAACATTTTCCTTAAAATCACGAGCAATACAAATGCGGTTAGGATAAGCGCAGGATGTTACCTCTCAAAGATGAGCTTATAGTGTGAAGTTTCTTGTTTGCTACTTGAGGAAGAATAGATATAGCTAGAGAGGCCATTTTAACAAAGCGTTGTGAGATATGAAGATGATTAAGCTTTCATTACATGATCTTTCCTTATTGGAAGAGGTTATTCTGGTTTCTCATAAAACATTGATTTGTGCATTGTGCAGCCATTGCTCGATCAAGCAGTTATGATGCTTTTATTGGATGGATTCAAAGAGCTTGTGAAGAGTTTCAGTTCTTCTTAAACGCTGTAAGAGACCCACAAAAATTTGATGTTTTCGAGTATCTGTTCAAAGTGAATCAATAGTATTCGACGCAATGAAGGCAATCAAAGAAAGTCAGCATGTATTCTTCACAGGAGAGGTTCAGGTTTCCCGTATTTCTAATTGTATGGTTAATTTCTCATAGCTTGGATGATTGGTTCACATTGCTTAACTAAAATTGAATGGATTTGTATAGATGATATTTCCATGGATGTTTAATGAGATTCATGCCTTGAAGCCATTCAAGCTAGTGACGGAAACAATTATTCAGTTTTACGAAGATATGTATCTATGTAAATTTCAAGCAAACAATTGGTCTTGTTCTTTAACCACAAAATTTATTCGTACACTAAACATTCTTTTACGATTAACCAAAAATACCAATCTCCAATCCAATCTCCCACAAAAAACTTGTTCTTTAAATTGTTTTACTTCTCTTTTTGAGACAACAAAATATCACACCAAATGGCATATTCTTCCCGTAATATGTTCGACGATACAATGGGTAAATAATTTAATGAATTTTTTAATCAGGCATTCGAGAATCAATTTTTATTTGCAGATCTGTTTTTAAATGTTTTTATGTCATGTATGTTTAATATTTTATGAATTGCAATAATTATAAAATTTTATATAATTTTTAATTATCTTTTTTCGAAAAACTCCACTTGAAATACTACTATTGGACTATGATTTTTTTTTAAAAAAAAAACAAAAGTTCTCATCTAGAAAATCTCCAAAATTTATACTATTAAACAATTGGAGAGAGCTCTCCCATTGGAATTGCTATTAATTCAAATTGTCTAATTCGTTCAAAATCATCCTGCATGGGTTTTAGGCTTTTAGCTAAGCCAGCCTAGCTACATGTGCTGATTTATACAGAGATATATATAGACATATATCAATAAATTTGGAACAAATCAGAGTTTTTAGATCTAAAGACACGGTGCCTTCTCATTTCCTCCGGTGAGTTATCCAAATCTTGTTTTCTTTTCATATATCCTATTATCCACATGAAAATTGATAAGTATTCGTTGAATTAAAAGGGGGCATTCTACGAAGAAAATGGCGAGAACAAAAGACGACATGGAGAAAATGAACGACAAAGCCGGGCCGTTGCTGCTGCCGGAGAATGGATCCGATGTCTCAGAAGAAACGTCGTGGATGGTTTATCTAAGCACAATCATTGCCGTTTGCGGTTCCTACGAGTTTGGAACATGCGTAAGATTCTTTTACGACATCTATCACTTTCGATAACGAAAAGTAATGAAGATGACAAACTAAGAATTAATCTTTTGTTGATACGAGAAAATTTGTGTTTTCTTTAATAGGTGGGATATTCTGCTCCGACCCAGTTTGGGATTATGGAAGAGCTTAATTTATCATATTCCCAGGTTTATATTTAAATTAATTAAGTCTTTTACGTTTATAGGTGTTTAATGATATATTTTGCTTAACCTTTGTTTTTTCTTTTGGAATCTAGTTTTCAGTTTTTGGATCGATACTGAATGTGGGAGCAGTGCTCGGCGCCATTACATCGGGGAAGATCTCTGATTTCATCGGTCGGAAAGGGGTAAAACCTACCTAAACCAATTTAATTTATCTCAATATGCACACAAGAAACCCTCAAAAAAAAAAAAAAAATCACAAGAATCAAATGCACTACACATTTTGTGATATGTTAATATGATTATATGCATGTTATGATATTACAAAATATAATATACTTTTTTGGCTCACATGGTTTTTGAGACAGGCCATGAGGTTGTCTTCAGTGATCTCTGCCATCGGCTGGCTGATAATTTACTTCGCCAAGGTTTTTTCCTTTGGCTAAATTTCTTCATTATTTGTCTTAAAAAACTTCAAATAAAATTGAAAATCTGCAATTAAATAGTGTCAATTTTTTTAATATTAGGGTGACGTACCTTTGGATTTCGGAAGATTTCTGACGGGTTTTGGTTGCGGCACCCTTTCCTTTGTGGTACGACATTTTCATAGCCTTTTCCTCTTATGGATAAAAAGCCATGGATAGTGTTATAAATAAATCCGTATTAGTATGAAACTTTTTAGAAATCCACGTTTGGCACTGATTTTATGTAGGTACCGGTATTCATCGCTGAAATTAGTCCAAGAAAATTGAGAGGCGCCTTAGCGACGCTTAACCAGGTGATGATATGTCCTTTTATTTACTACTGCATTAGAAAATGTACTTATTACAATAGAATCAGAAGAGCTAGCAAATGTGCTGGTGTTTTCTGAGTATTTGACCTTGTTAAACAAATTAGGTTTATTTTGTGATCAAACAATCAAAATAGTATTTAGAGTTATTTAGATCTTTGAAAAAATCAGTTTTTTTTTTTTTTTGTTTCTTTTCTGAAATAAATTGATATTGTTAATTTTGCAGCTCTTTATCGTAATCGGATTAGCTTCTATGTTCCTCATAGGCGCCGTCGTAAATTGGAGAACTCTTGCACTAACCGGTAAAATTGTTTGTGCGGTAGCTTAGCCGGAAATATTTGGTATTCGTTTAGTAATTAATTGTGCAAGAGATGGTATTGTATTCACTTTGGTTATAACAAAACCAGATTTAATTAACCAATTTCAGGAGTTGCACCGTGCGTGGTTCTATTCTTTGGGACTTGGTTCATCCCTGAATCACCCAGATGGCTGGTAAGATCGAAACTCAATTTCGGCTTGGTTAAGATCGAAACTAACCGACGCAACTCATACGCGTTTGGTATTTAAAGGAAATGGTTGGCCGCCACCACGATTTTGAAATTGCGTTGCAAAAGCTGAGGGGTCCTCACACCAATATCAGAAGAGAAGCCGAGGAAATTCAGGTACAATCTAAACCAGAGAATCGAATTAGAAAACCGGTTGGTACGTGACATGACATTTTGTTTTTGGATTCTTGTTTATAGGAGTACTTAGCGAGTCTTGCTCACCTCCCAAAAGCCACGCTGTGGGACCTTATTGACAAAAAGAATATTCGATTTGTGATTGTAAGAATCTCTAATTTCATTTAACCGATTATAACTATGTTTCCCGGTTTGATTTGGTCTAATCTTATTTTTGTATTGTATCAGGTTGGAGTTGGTTTGATGTTTTTCCAACAATTCGTTGGAATAAATGGTGTTATCTTCTACGCACAACAAATATTCGTATCGGCAGGTTATAATTCGGAAATGATCTAGCAAATGTTGAAATCTAACATGCTCAATTTCTAGACCATTCATCGGTTTTTTGTTCCGGTTTTGGTGTACCAGGGGCATCCCCAACTCTTGGAAGCATTCTATACTCGATCGAACAAGTTGTTCTTACAGCACTCGGTGCAACATTGCTAATTGATCGTCTTGGTAGAAGGCCACTTCTTATGGTATATATGGTTCTTTCTTCATTTTCCAATAAACCGAAGAATACCGGTTTGGATTATTCGGTCTGACCATGTCGATACATTGCAGGCTTCAGCTGTTGGGATGCTGATTGGATGTTTGCTCATTGGAAATTCATTTCTTTTGAAGGTCAATCATATGAAAATCAACAAAATAATTTACAGAGTATAATATTAGGAAAAATGTAGGACGTATAGTTTAACCGGTTTGATTTTGGTTTTGATGTTAATTAACCAGGCTCATGGTTTAGCACTTGACATCATTCCGGCCCTGGCAGTTAGTGGTGTCTTGGTAAACATCTATAAACCCAAATTTGGGTTGGTTTAGTCTTGTTTTTTCCTCGGTTGACCAAAAAACTCAATTTACAGGTCTACATTGGTTCGTTCTCTATTGGAATGGGTGCAATCCCATGGGTTATAATGTCTGAGGTAATTTCAAAACAATATCAAATGTTCATATTTCATGATTTTCTTCTTCTTAATCTTGTCACTAACTTAAAAAAAATTACTTTTCTGCTGCCAATTGTTTTTTTTTTCCAGATATTTCCAATAAATATGAAAGGAACTGCTGGAGGACTTGTCACTGTAGTAAATTGGCTAAGTTCATGGCTTGTCTCCTTCACTTTCAACTTTCTCATGATTTGGAGCACTCATGGTATTACATTTTTTTTGTTATTTTATATATATACAGTAACTAGGTAAACAATCAGTATTGATCTCATTTATTTGTTTTTAGGTACATTTTATGTATATGGTGGCGTATGTGTATTGGCTATTATCTTCATAGCAAAACTTGTTCCTGAAACTAAAGGCAGAACCTTGGAAGAGATTCAAGCAATGATGATGTAATTCTATAATTTTTTTTTTTTTTCTATAATTATATAATACATGTTAATTTTTTTCTTAATTATAAGTTATAATATCTACATGCAAATGCATACCATTATCAATATAACCGAAATTCTTTTTATGAACTTAGCATTGAATTTTCAGATTTCGTTAATAGAATTATGGCATGAACAAGTTCTTCAGTCAAGAAGTGGGCATGTTCTCTCCTAAAATGGGTTTTCTCGAACCCAATGGTCAAAACATTGGGCCAAATAGTCGAGACGGATTTGTTCTCACACGGTAAAGTAGTTGAGGCTACAACAGTAATTATAACGACTTAACGCTTTTTCTTCGATCAATGTAAATTTGGTCCCTCGATTTTGAACGAGTAAGCATTCTCATCTTTATATAATAAATCATAAGTCAATTCACAAAAAAAACTGCAACGAATATTCACACAGTCAAATTTTTATTCTTTTTCTTTGTTAGATAATTTTATAAAGCTTTGTTTCTTAATTCGTAACACGTTATTCTTTTTGTGAGGAATAATCTAAAAAAAATAAAATAAAATTATATTCTCAAAATACGCGTTGACTATGAGCTTTAAGTCTAAACATTTTAAAATGGCCATGCATCGTGCTATGTAACTATTTTATGGTCAATTGGTACTACAAAAGTACAAATAGTTTCCACGTTACACATCATAATTAAAAAAAAAAAAACGTTAAGTTGTTTATATAATATCAACTTAAATAAGTTAAAAGTAGGAAACCGCGTGAAGGACTTTAAAGTATTGAGTTATATATTGACATAATCAAACGGCGAGAAATACATGGCCATAAATTTTACTATTTTATTGAAATTCTTCTTATACTTGATTTCCTCTTAGTCCATTTTAACATTAAATAGGTATTATTAGGGTCTTTTGTACTAGGACAAGCGTGATCCATATCCACTTGTCAATAAAAAATCATAATTTTTAGGGTTAAGAACGTTGAATAATTACGTGCTATGTATTATGATGGAGGAGATATGGACCAAAAGTTGGAGCTCCTACCGTTTATCACAAAAAAAAAAGAAAGTTGAATAGTTATTGTAATATTTTTATATATATCAACAAATTTGGATCCACTGCCTTTTAATCTCTCTAAAACATGTAATCCGCAGTACTCTGTACTCTCTACGTGAAGGTTTTTTAAAGAATTGAGTTATTGACATATCAAACCGCGAGAAATACATGGCCATATGTTTTATTCTTGGAATTTTGCTTACGTCATCTCTTCGTAGTCCATTAGTATAACGTTAGGTAGGTATTTAGGGCCATCATAATTTCTGTATCAGGACAAACGTGATCCATATCCACTTGTCAATAAAAATGTATACAATTTTTCGGGGTTAATAACGTTGAATAATTATTTTAATATTTTCATATATAATCGAATTCAGATTGCGCATCACCACATGATTGATTGTGTTGTCATTACTGATTAATTAATTAATCATGTTTAGTTATAAAAACCATCACAAAAAAACATCATAACCGAGGAGCGGCTAAAGGTCATCACAAAAAAATAACAGCAAACCGCAGTGTGATTTTTTTTGTTTCTGGTAATATTAGTACAACATTTTCCAAAAAAATATATTAGTATACCAAATCCAACACATATCAGTATTGTTTTTTCGTTTTGATTAAATGTGTAACTAATTGATCAACATGCATGTGACGTTAGAAGTTGGAACACCACTACAGGAGTTGAACCACTAATTAATGGGATCGGAAGACGTGCGGCGATGAAGTTAAGTTTATTGAATTCCGCGGGAGATGATAATTTCCGAATAATCATCCTTATTCCTAAGTCGTCTAATTAACAATTCAAGCAATCTGTAGTCATGCTAATGATCAAATGGATAAATTAATAATTTATTTTACTTCAACTTTATTCAGATTGAGCAATCTAATTCATTCGGTCTGTCATTTACACTTTCTGTTGATTTTAGTATAATGTTTTCATCTTTTGACAAATACATAAATACATTAAAAAGGTGAAATACTACTGAGCAAATTTAAAGAGTTTCTCGGATTATGATTATTTTACTTCAACTTCAAGCATGTATCTATAAAAAGCTATGCATGGTTGGCAAATCGAGACATATATATCTTATACACTTACAATAACTTAAAGGCAAACGTTGTTGATAAAACTGGATTAAGAGCACACTTTTGGTATATAATTGACTCATTGTACTCACAATATGTATATTCAAAGGTGTTATTAATTGTGAAAATAACAACTTATAATGCTCTCGTCTTCGGTTCCCTTTTATTTTTACACATTTGTTGGTTGATAAGTTTCTAATTGTAGAAATGGTGCAGGGAGATAAACCTAGCTAACCTGCATGTATGTAAAATTGTCTGTATAAAATTATAGAAATAATAATAACAATGATGAGCACGAATCTAATCTACCATAGATAGATAAATAGTTGGCATAACATTTCTGTAACTATCCTCGTCTTAATTTACAGTAAAAACGAGGTCAAACCATCTAAATGAATCTATATATAAAGAGAAAGCATAGTTCTCGGAGTATATCTATCTCTCTCTCTCTCTTTTTTGTTCTTTAGCTCGGTTCAATTCTAGTATTTTTGAGGCTTATTTGAGTGAAGAAAATGGAGGGAGAGAATAGGAGCATTATTGAGAAAGGATTATTATTGGTAAATAAGGAAGAGAGTGCAAATACAACTCCACTTCTTGTCTTCACCACTTTCATCATTGTCTCTGCCTCCTTCTCTTTCGGCGTTGCCGTAAGTTTTCTTAACTTATTTATCTATTTTTGATGTTTTGAAGTATTCCAAATTACTTTTTTTCCCTCTCTTTTTTCTTGGGGAATCATATATTATATATATATATATATATATAAAAAAAATAATATTTACTTAATGGCAAGAATTTCTGAAAAGTAAAAATACAGTATATAAGTTAAAAATTTGACGAAAAAAGTAAACTGGTGTTCCTTTGCGTGTTTTTAATTTGTTTACTCATTAGTTTTAAAGGTTCATTAGCATGTTAATAGACAAACCTTACGATTTCAAAAGAAATTGGATTTAACAACGTGGGATCCATCAACGAATCACCGTGCATGATCAGTCTTTCGATTTAGAGTCTTTTAAAGTAAATTTTAAAGCTATACGTATACTTATCAAAAATTGGTTGTGTTTTGAGTTTCAGTTTCGAGTCTTTAGGGAGCCAAATCAAATTTTTACGAACTGGATAGGAAAATTAATTGGCTAGAGATACCACTTCTAGCCACGATTTTTCTTAATATTTTGTTTATTTATTTTTTAATGTTTTGAAGTATTCCAGATAGCCTTTTCCGAAATTCATATATAGAAGGCATAAAATTTATGTAACTATCCTCATGTTTTGAAGAATTTCAATTAACCTTTTTCGAAATTCAGAACTGGATTTGGCGTAGAATATTCCAATTGTGTTCAACTTAATTATTTAGATATTCAGGCATGTATCTCAATTATTTTGATGATAATCAGTTAGGGCATACTGCTGGTACAATGGCCTCCATTATTGAAGATCTTGATCTTTCTATCACACAAGTATGTCTCTATTTAACTAAGTTCATTAATATTTCAGATAGCTTATAGCAAATAAAAATCTACCTTACCAAAAAAAAAATAGCAAATAAAAATCTAATTCCGATAATTTATGATAATTGGAATTTGTTTTTTTCACAGTTTTCTGTATTTGGTTCGTTGTTGACATTTGGAGGAATGTTGGGTGCAATATTTAGCGCCACGATTGCAGATTCATTTGGTTGTAAAATGGTTAGATATTTCTTATTTGAAATCCTATTGGCATATATAAACCTCTAACCTCTTTTAATAATGTTTCCGCTCTAATAAATTTCTTAGACTTTGTGGATCTCTGAGGTATTCTGCATAAGTGGATGGTTTGCAATTGCACTAGCCAAGGTTTCTTCACTACGCATTTAGTATCGTTTCTATATAAGCGTACTCGATCTCTAATCTCGATTAATTCATCTTTGCGTAGAATATTATTTGGCTGGACTTGGGACGATTCTTTGTAGGAATTGGAGTTGGTCTCCTTAGTTACGTGGTAATTTTTTTTTTTGGATAGAAAATTTCTATTATTTTTTGCTGTTGTTAGATACCTCTAAGCTTTTTAACAACGCTAGCTAGTTTTTATATATATTTTTGTAGGTTCCTGTATATATTGCAGAAATAACTCCCAAAACTGTGCGAGGCACTTATACATTTAGTAATCAGGTAATGTAAATTTATAATTAGTGTATGATCATATATATATATATAGATATATATTGATGAAGGTCTACTTATTTACAGTTGTTGCAAAATTGTGGGGTGGCAACCGCGTATTACCTAGGAAATTTCATATCATGGAGAATCATAGCCTTAATCGGTGATTCTTTCTCATATACTACTATTATTTTTTTCTCTACAAATTTCATTTTTTCATATTTATTATTGATAATAAAATTTAATTCTTGCATAAACTATTTCATCAAAGATACTTTAATGTCTTCAGGCATACTTCCATGCTTGATACAACTTGTTGGATTGTTTTTCGTCCCCGAGTCTCCAAGATGGTTGGTTAGTCATATGAAACATCTTATACATTTTCTAATAAGTTGTTTATTTTGTAAAATTTATAAGAGAATTTATATATACACATTTAGCGTGACTAATTATTATAGGCAAAAGAAGGTCGTGACGAAGAATGTGAGGTTGTTCTTCAGAAATTAAGAGGAGACGAAGCGGATATTGTGAAGGAAACTAGAGAAATCATGGTACACATGCATATAAATCATAATCAAAATTAGATATTAACATTTCGTTTAATTTTGATCAAATTTGAAAACTGTATTACTATTTCTTCCATTTTTTCACACAAAGAATTTTAAATTTAATATTTTTCTTTCTGAAAAAAATTCTTGCTTATCTTCATTCTATTTTTTTTTTCAGATTTCTGTTGATGCTTCCGCGAATATCAGCATGCGTAGTCTTTTCAAAAGGAAATATTCTCATCAACTTACAGTATGAAAAAGGGGTTTCATTCATCAGCAGAAATTTGAAAATTTTAAAAGTAATTTAATTAACTGAACTGATTTTTGTTTTTGGTTAATTAAATCAAGATCGGTGTAGGTTTGATGCTTCTGCAACAGTTAAGTGGAAGTGCAGGATTAGGTTATTACGTTGGTAGCGTGTTTGATCTTGCCGGTAAAGTTTCATCAATGGATTTAATATGCTTATCATTACTTTATTCTTTGAATGACTATTACGTATATATAATTTTTTTTTTTTTTTTCAAACTCTTAAGGATTTCCTTCTCGGATTGGGATGACGGTGTTGTCTATTGTCGTGGTACGTATATATATTCATAATGTGATCCTTGTTATTTACCACTGTTGACTCCTAAATTTCTTCGATTCCATTATGAAATGGGATTGATCATGATATATAGGTACCAAAAGCTATATTGGGTCTGATACTTGTGGAACGATGGGGAAGAAGACCGCTTCTTATGGTTATAATATTTTTATTTGTTACTATAGTACAATTTTGTTGTGTTAATTGATTAATTACGTTTATAAAGTATACAAACTTTAATGTACAAATTTGCAGGCATCGGCATTTGGGTTATGTTTAGGTTGTATCTCTCTTGCATTAGCGTTTGGATTGAAAGGTGTCCCTGGGATTAATGTAAATGTTACTCCCACTTTGGCATTTATAGGAATATTGGTAAGTGAGATCCAATTCATTAATTTATAATATCTTCAAAATAAATAAAAAATCATACACTTTTTTCTATTTGAATAAAAGCAACCTTGTTGTTGACAACAAAAAAAGAAACAACCTGAATTATATAAAGTTTATAACTAAACTAACACAAGTTATTGGATATCCTCTTATATAATCATTAAAAACAATATAAGTTTGGTATCATTGTTATTTTTCAGCAATAGCTAGATTCTATAGAAATTTCAAAATGTGATTAAATAGAATAAATCTATAATCCAAACAGACATTTGTTATGATGTTCGCGGCTGGATTAGGAGCGCTACCATGGATTATAATGTCTGAGGTATAAAACACATATGCTTACTTTTTTACATGTTTGAGCAAAGTCTCTTTTTCTTGTTACATTCAAAATTGTTCATTTCCTTGTGTAGATATTTCCGATGGACATGAAAGTAGTAGCTGGAAGTTTAGTAAGCATAACGAATTGGTTTACTGGTTGGATCGTCAGCTACTGTTTCAATTTTATGCTTCTTTGGAGTCCAACCGGTACGTCAAAACTAGTCCAGAAGCATTAAATTGTACCTAATTTAGTTTTCTTCTCTTTTTCTTTCTCTAATACCCTTATAATCAACCAAATTTAGAGATTCAGTATTTATATACATATTCACGTAACTATATAACTTAACAACAGAGACAAAAATCAGATAGTTCTCCTCTCTCAGTTTGAACATTTTTGGCAACTATCTATCCGATCCCGGTCTCGAGTTCTTTAGATATAGTTTTGGAGATCTTACAATGATATATGATTTATGAATTCAAAGATTCCAATAACAATGCATATATCTTATTTTTGGAAATTCGAATTGCAGGAACTTTTATCATATTTGCTACGATATGTGGAGCAACGATTGTCTTCGCATGGTGTTTGGTGCCTGAGACTCGAGGTTTAACTTTAGAAGAAATCCAACTTCGACGTGCTCATTAATACTTTGAGTTGATCTGATATATCTATTATAAAACAATCATAATCGGATTTCATATAGTATACAAACAATGTGAATCGATTATGCATGGTCTACATTCATTACTAAATCTTTTATGTAAGATCATGTTGCCCATCATGCCGACAGTTGTGCTATTATTGTCTTCATAGCAAAACTTGTTTCTGCAATAATAGAATTATATAATACATGGTAATTTTTTTTTTATGCAAGTTATAAAAATTTACAGCCAAATGCCTATACCCTTATTAACATAACTGAAATTCTTTTTAAAAAGTGAGGCTGTATACATATTTTATGAATTTAGCATTGGATTTTCGGATTTCGTACGTTGATAGAATTATGGCATGGAACATGTTCTTTAGTCGTCGTTCATCAAAAAGAAAAAAAAAAGAAAATGTTCTTTAGTCAAGAAGTGGGCATGGTCTCTCATAACTAGGTAAAAAACGACGCTTCTAAGCAGAGGTGTTACAACACTCCTCTTCAGCCATGGCCACTCCCTTCTCGCTCTGATGCATGCGACCACTCGTTACGTTGACGCCGCATGGAATGCCTCCTCTGGATTCTGTGGTATGGGCTGGGTGATTCAAGATAGCAGCAATAGTACCCGTTCTCGCTCCTTCTCCTCTCATAGGAGGTTTGTCTCCTCGGAATTTGTTGCAGAGTGCTACTTCACAGAGGCTTTAGCTTTGCGTAGTGCTTTGTCATTGTTGGCAGCAAACACTGATGACTAACCCGGTGGTGATCTATTCGGACTCGCAATCCCTTATTTTGCTGATCAACTCTAAAGGTTGTGCCACGGAGCTTCGAAGTATCCTCCACGATATTTTCCTGCTAAGTGAAAACTTTAGTTTTATCTCTTTTGTCTTTGTACCTCGGTCTCACAATGGTGTAACCGATGCTTTAGCCAAGATGGCTCTTTTAATTTGTCTCTAACTTCTACCTCCTTTGGTGAGGACTTAAAACTCTCTCTATCATCTATAAAAGTTTGTTGTTCAAGAAAAAAAACCAGACGAAGTGTTCTCAGTTCTCACACGGTACGTAAATTTGGTTTCTCGATTTTTGTTCATTAATTAATTCATAAAGTTAATATACAGTTGTGAGCCTAATTAACAGATCCATATAATTTAGATTGTTCTTATAATTTAAAATAGTTTGATTGACCGATTGAGCGTGTTTCACGGTTTCTGTTGATATATAATAGTTTTCATATTACACACCACAATAAGAAAACGTTAAACTGTCGATATATAATATATATATATATATATTTTGGACAGCCTGTCGATATATATATTTGACTGAAATAAGTTAAAATAGGAAACAGCGTGACGTACGTGGCCATATTTTATTATTTTTGGGATTTTTTATTCCTTGATTATTATTACGTTTACGTAGCAGAATTAAAATTCGTCGTAGTCCATTAAGTAGGTATTACCGTATTAGATAAGTTATTAGGGCCCTCATATTTTGTATTTGGACAAGTGTGATCCATATTTAAAATGTCTATAATTTTTCGGGTATGAACAGCGTTTTAATATTTTCATGTAAATTCATATATATAATTAATTATCAACTTGGATCAGTACTGCATTTTGATCTCTCTGAAACATGTAATCCGCAATACCCTGGGAAAATTCGGATTCAGATTACGCACAGCCACGCATGATTGATTGAGTTGTCAATTTGTCATTATTAATTAATCATGTTTAATTATAAAAACTATGACAAAATTATATTTTATACATCCCAGTGTGATTTTTTCTTGATGATATATCTATTATACTAAATTTCAAATAAAATAATATATATATATATAACATATCCGAAACATATCAGCATTATTTTTTGTTTATAACATACATTATTGTCTTCGAGAAATATAAAATAAAAATTGTGATGCACTAATATGAGACATGAATCTATATATAAAGAGAAGGCATAGTTCTCACTTCTCAGAGTATATCTATTTCTCTTCTTCTTCTTCTTTAGCTCGGTTCAATTCTAGTATTTTTGAGGCTTATTTGAGTGAAGAAAATGGAGGGAGAGAGTAGTAGCATTGAGAGAGGATTATTATTGGTAAATAAGGAAGAGAGTGCAAATACAACTCCACTTCTTGTCTTCACCGCTTTCATCATTGTCTCTGCCTACTTCTCCTTCGGCGTTGCCGTACGTTTTCTTATTATTATTATTTTTTTAAAATATTTTGTTAACTTTTTTTTTTTTTTTTGGTAAACATATTTTGTTAACTTATTTATCTATTTTTGATGTTTTGAAGGATTCCAAATTACCTTTTTTGAAAATCAGAATTGGGTTTTGCATTGGAATATTCTAACTGTGTTCAACTTATTTAGATATTCATGCATGTATCTCAATTGTTTTTATGAGAATCAGTTAGGCCACACTGCTGGTACAATGGCTTCCATTATGGAAGAGCTTGATCTTTCTATCGCACAAGTAAGTCCCTGTTTAACTATACATTCATTACTATTTCAGATAAGATTTAACAAATAAAAATTTATTTCGATAATTATGATAATTGGAATTTATTTTTATAAATGTTTTTTTTTTGTAGTTTTCTGTATTTGGTTCGCTATTAACGTTTGGAGGAATGATTGGCGCAATATTTAGCGCCACGATTGCAGACTTAGTTGGCCGTAAAATGGTTAATTTTTTTTATTAATTAAATTCATTTGGCATAATCTTTAAACCTTTAATCTTTTTTAATAATATTTTCGCTCTAACATATTTCTTAGACTTTGTGGATCGCTGAGGTTTTCTGCATAAGTGGATGGCTTGCAATTGCACTAGCCAAGGTGAAAATATAAATGTTTTTTAAACCTTTATTATTATTTTCTTTTTAATGATTATTACGTGAAAATATAAATGTTTTTTTTTAATTAATTGTTACTTTTAACTCTTAAGGATTTCCTTCTCGGATTGGGATGACGGTGTTGTCTATTGTCATGGTACGTATATGTAAAATATTCATAATATTTACACTTTGATCCATAATCTATGAAATGGGATTGATCATGATATATAGGTACCAAAAGCTATATTGGGTCTGATACTTGTGGAACGATGGGGAAGAAGACCGCTTCTTATGGTTATAATATTTTTATTTGTTACTCTAGTATAATTTTATTGTGTTAATTGATTAATTACGTTTATAAAGTATATAAATTTTTTGTACAAATACGCAGGTATCGGCATTTGGGATATGTTTAGGTTGTATCTCTATTGCATTAGCATTTGGACTGAAAGGTGTTCCTTGGATCGTAAATTTTACTCCCACTTTGGCATTTATAGGAATGTTGGTAAGTGAGATCCAATTTATTTTCAAAAAAAAATCATAGTTTTCTTCTATTTGAATAAAAACAACCTGAAATATTTTAAGTTGTTTTTATTCAAATAGAAGAAAAGTAAGATTATGCTATTTTAAGTTGTTTATATTCAATTCATCGATCCTTATATTGAATGTTAAAAACAAGAATGTCTTAATTACACATATGCTATTGTTGTCATTATTATTAATTATTACGTTTTTTTTTTTGTTAATAAGAAAGTTTTTAGGTTTTTGCCCATAATTTCTTAGACCGGAACCAACCATTGATAATGCTTATTAAAATGTTATTTGTTAATTTTCAGTAATATATAGCTAGATTTTGTAGAAATTTCAAAATGTGATCAAAGATATTAAATCTATAATCCAAACAGACATACAATATGATGTTCGCAGCTGGATTAGGAGGACTACCATGGATTATAATGTCCGAGGTATATGAACATATGTTTACTTTTTCGTTTACTTTTTTTTTTGTGACATTCAAAATTGTTCATTTCCTTACACTTTTTGTGTAGATATTTCCGATAAACATGAAAGTAGTAGCTGGAAGTTTAGTAAGCATAACGAATTGGTTTACTGGTTGGATCGTCAGCTACTGATTCAATTTTATGCTTCTTTGGAGCCCAACTGGTACGTCAAAACTAGTCCAAAAGCATTAAAAATTGAACCTTATTAATGATTTAGCTCGGTTTTGTTTAGTTTTTTTTGTTTTTCTCTAATTCACGGAACTAGATAACTTAACAACAGAGATGAAAAGGAAAACTAACAGATATTTGATATAATGGAACTGCTATCTATTCGAGTCTCGAGCTCTTTAGATATATTTTTGGATCTTAAATTGATATATGATTGATGAAATTCAAGATTCCAATGACGATGCCTATATCTTAATTTATTTTTGTAAATTCGAATTGTAGGCACTTTTATTATATTCGCCATGATAAGTGGAGTAACGATTGTATTCGCATGGTGTTTGGTGCCTGAGACTCGAGGATTAACTTTAGAAGAAATCCAACTTCGACGTGCTCATTAATACTTTGAGTTGATCTCAAATATCCATTATAAACGTGTGTATATACAACAATCAATTTTTTTTCATGTAACAAATTAAGTTGTTGTTCATCAATCATCATGCCGAAAGTTGTTTTATTTTTTTTTGTCAAACCAAACCTGTTCTATTTAGGTTCATTATATCGTAAAACGTCGAGCCAACCTAGCCAAAATCTGCTAACCTAAAAACAGATAATAAATAATACAATGACTGATGTGATATTTAGTAGGTGAAGAAGTTTTAGCATGCACGTTTCTTTGTGCCAGCTCCCAATCTTTTAGTCTTGATATACCTTTCATTTTGGGTCCAGCCGTCCAGGTTCAGTGAATTATATATTTCTGCCACGTTTATTGAAGGGCTAATATAGTCCAACTAATTCTTTCATTTAATGCAATTCGTATTTTATAGTATATTTTTCTTGTCCAAATTCGTATTTTTTGTATAATGTTTCAAGTGCTGTCTTTGTTTGTTGTCTCCTATACGTTTAATTTAATATTCCCTCTGTTTTAATTGATTTTTACTTTAAGGTTTTTACTCAAAAATAAAAAAATCACAAAAATCACATTTAATTTACTTTTTTTTTTATATAAAAATATCATTAATTACAACTAATAAAAAAATATGCTATAAAATATAATTAGTCAAAAACTATTAAA